CTGACCCAGTTCTTCCTTGAGTGCAGCGGGCTCGTGCGAACGGACAAGAAGCCGGCGCTCTGCAAAAGTTACCAGAAGCTGATCTCTGAAGTCTGGCATAAGAAACGGTGAGTACATTTCAGAGAGCGGAGTTGTCTGCCTTAATAAATAAATAAATCCACCTGTAACTCCTAGATTTTTACTCGGAAAGTCAACTTCATTGAGTGTTCGCCGGGCTTTGCTCCTCACTAAGCAAGCATTTCTCCAGCGGCCATCTAAAGGATCGTACGGAAGTAAGGCCCAGCAGACGACACAGTTGAGATGTCAGGTGTTAGGGTTGGGCTGGAAGAAACACCGTGTAAGGTGCAGGATTTGATCACTGTTCTGGAGAGAGCCAAGGGTTGGGGGAATGGGCTCAAGCGATAGGAAGATTTAAGCTGAAGATCAGGAGAAACTTCTTAACTGTTAGAGCAGTACGACAAGGGAACTGATGACCTCGAGAGGGGGTGAGCTATGCCACGCCGGAGGGCCTTTATGGGAAAATAAAATCGGTCGGATCAGCTTGGATTTGGATTCCTGCCTTGACCAGGGCATTGGACTCGGTGGCCTTAGAGACCCCTTCCCGCTCAAGCATGCTACGATTCTACGAACCGTAGAAAAGCTGAGACCTGAAGCAGCTTTTCTTCCTGATAATTTCTGTTTGATTTTTTCTTTTTTCACGCAGGCCCAGCTATGTCGTCCCCAGCAGCCTCTCTCATGGAATCAAGCTGGTGAACCCCATGTTCCGAGGGTATGCACAGCAGGTGAGGAAGGGCCTTTAAACTCTCAAGAATCCTTTGATGGAAGCGCCCCGCCAAGCACTGTCATTCAGACCAGCCCGGGGTGTGTGTGTGTCTTTTCTGAGAGGCTCAAAGTCCGCCCCCAGGGTCGTGTCAGCCTCGCAGGGAGTGGATTGGTCCCCCGGGCGTCTCTCTGATTTTTGCTTATAGTCCTGGGGATCGGAGGACTTTGAAGGCTTGCTTTCTAAGGCTGGAGGACTCCAAAGGGAGAAGGGGTATCACGTGTCCGATGAGAAGTGAGAGAGAGAAAGCTCATAAAAACCAGTCCTAAAAAAGAAGGGGGCAAGTTTATCCCAGTTTGGTGTTTGAGGTTCGTGAGATTCGCTTCTAGGAGGAAGGCATGGGGGTCTTCAGAATTTTGGATCACCTCTCCCGGAAATTTGCAGGAATTCGCCTGGCTAGATTTTTAAAGGCTTTAATAAGAAAGAAAGAAAGAAAGAAAGAAAGAAAGAAAGAAAGAAAGAAAGAAAACAAACTGCAGTAGGTGTTTTCAAATTCTTAAAAGCTAAGTCTGTGCAGGAGATGAGGAAATGATGGGCTACGCTCCTTCGGTCTGGTTGGGTTTCTTTCGGAGAGCTTTATGGGACAGAGACAACGAGACCCATCGTCCCCTGTGACTCCCGCAGAGCTTAGCCCCAGCCGCCTCGTCTTCTCTTCACAGGATGAAAATGGCCGTTGGGGGTGGGTAGGATTCACCCTGACGTCCCTCTTCTTCTCCTTCCCCGCAGGACACGCAGGAATTCCTGCGCTGCCTGATGGACCAGCTTCACGAAGAGCTGAAGGAGCCAGTGGTGGCCGAAGCGCGGGACTCGGACTCCAGCGACACAGACGACAAAAGGGAGGGCGACCGGAGCCCCTCTGAGGACGAGTTCCTCTCCTGTGACTCCAACAGCGACCGGGGCGAAGGGGACGGGCAGAGCAAAACGGGGGGCTCCCTGGTGGAGGCGGAGATGCTGATCCAGGACGAGGCCGGGCGCGGGATTTCAGAGAAGGAGAGGATGAAGGACCGGAAGTTCTCCTGCAGCCACCGGCGGAGCAACTCGGAGCAAGCGGACGAGGACGCCGACGTCGATACCTCGGTGATGGCGGGCGACAGCCGGGCTTCCCCGGAGGGGCTCCCTCCTTCCACGCCCCAGGCGTCCAGTCCCTCCCGGAACCCAGGTACCTACCTCTTCGCGGGCAAAGTGGAAACCCGTTGAAACATTACATCTGTGTCTCTTCGGCATCCTTTCCCTCCAAACTCGGGCCGTTAATTCACAACCAGGAGGATGTCTAGGTGGGCGTAAACGGGTCAAAGCGCCCCGGAGCTGAACAAGGGGGTTCCGGAAGAGCCCAGCCGGGCTGAACCCAAAGGTCTCAGAGCCGTCCCCCTGGTGTCCTAGAGGACAACGTCACAGCCCCGTTTCCATCTTTCCCCCCGCACAGAGCCTGACAACGACGCCTACTCCCGCTGCTCCTCCCGGCCTTGCAGCCCGGTTCACCACGACGCGCACCCCAAGCTTTCCAGCAGCCCGCCGCGATCCAGCCCGGTCCGGTTGGGGCCCTCCTACGTCCTGAAGAAGGGTAAGGCTGGAAAGCATCCGTGTCCAGTGCCGCAAGGTCCAGTCCAGAAACCCTTGCTTTCATTCATCCCTTTTGCCACAAACAAATGCTGTGGATGTCTCCCTATAATCCGTGTCCTTTCCACCCACCCGCCCCTTGCAGGGTTAGGGTTCACAGCGCTGGCTGGTGTTGGTAGGATTACTCTGTTTGTTTCATTTCAAAAGCGTTCAGTTCAAAAAGCAAACTCAACCGGCTGGAAGATTGAAACCAGCCTCCGGGGTTCCCTTTAAAACTTGACGTTGAAGTTAAAAGCGTGCCCGAAAAGCAGGTCACCTCCTTGAACGTGAGGATCTCAGCCAGAAAGCGGTTTCGGGTTAGAGGTGTGCCGATTTGTAGTTTGGGACCACGACGCGCACAGAATTCTGCACAGAATTCTAGCCTACCTGTGGAGGGCGGTGCTGATTCGCATTTTACCAGCATCTCCCAGGAAATGGTCCTTGGGGTGTCCGTGCGCTCCTGGCCGCCAGCCACCCCATCCTCCATCAGGTGACCCACTCAGCATGCCAGGTTTCCGCAGCCCTCTTCGGCGAAGCGAACAGATGGAGGACGCCTCTCATTAGTTCTTTCTCATCCTCTTCTCCAGCTCAGATGTTGGCTTCCGGGAAGAAGAGGAAGGAGGTCCGTTACCGCAGCGTCATCTCCGATATCTTTGACGGCTCCATCCTTAGCCTCGTGCAATGCCTGACCTGCGACCGGGTGAGTTTTCCTTCTTCCTGCTCGTTCGGTGGAAATAGCCAGGAAGGCTGCCTTCCTCGCATCCTGTTGAAGCAGGAAGTTGATTTCTGTTCAGTGGGGGCTTTTAGCCCATGGGGAACCGCCCTCTGATTTCAAGGGTAGGGGGAGACACACACACACACCAGAGAGAACGAGACTTTTCCTAGTACTTGGAAATGAACTTTTAAAAAGTAATTAGTTGAACGAAAAATCCGAGAAATATATATATTTCTAAAGATAAAGTTAACAGAACTGGCCACGAGAGGGAGCCGGAAACCTGCTATGTTGAGCATTCGCTAGTGTATAAATAGCATTTGCTATAATCCACATTCTTCAGTATCTGCGGGGTGGGCTTGAAACCAATCCCCAGTGGATACAAGATGGTCTTTCTGCACTTGTTTCAAGAAGTAACATATTCTTCTTGTTACTTGCGGCGTTACTAAGTAATTCATTGTTACAGTGTACTTGTTACATGGCTTGTTTTTTTTGGGGGGGGGAAGGATTTCTAAACAAACTGCACAGAACTTGGGAAGTGCCTGGTCAAAATGTGTTTAAAACCTAAAAGGAAAGTAACTAGGGAATGTTAGTCCCATAGAATGCTGTTGTTCCCTCTTAGTGCATTACTTTTGAAGTGTAACTTAGTTACACGGCATTACTATTCTCTGTCCCGACTCTTCTTCATTTTACTTATCAGTAGAGATAGGCATGAACGGCCAAACCAGCGAAGCCCCGCCTCCTCCAGCAGGCGTCCATTCAGAGGCCGCGCCCCGGGTTCCCTGCCCCGCCTCCTCTGCGCACTGCCTCCAAGTGGGTGCCTGCTGGGGGAGGCAGGGTGTGGAAGCACCAAACGCTGGCTTGGCCAACGAACTGCCAATCTGGAGGTTCATGCCGGTCTCTGCTCCTAAGTCCTTATTTCCACCGGCTGGAGATCTGGGTGCGTGGACTGGGCCTTACTGGTTGCCGGATGGCTGGGAATTCCAGGAGCGCTAGTCCGACAGAAATTTTAAAACGTGCTCATGCGCCGCACCGGGGAAAGTTAGCGTGGGGCCGGCAGCCGCACTTCCGCCTTGGCCGGCCGAGCGCTGACCCTCGGACTCCCCTCCTCGTCCTCCCTCTGGCGTCCTCCAGGTGTCCACCACCGGCGAGACGTTCCAGGACTTATCGCTCCCCATCCCCGGGAAGGAAGACCTGGCCAAACTCCACTCGGCCATCTACCAGTACATGCCGGCCAAGGCGGGGCCCTGCGGAGACAACTATGCCGCCTCGCAGGGCTGGATCGCCTTCATCATGGACTACATCCGGAGGTGCGTGGATTCCCCTTCGGAAATGGAGTTTGGGAGGGGGGCGTTGAGAGAGGATGGGAGTCCAGAGGAAAACGTCCAAAGATTTGAGAACATAGGAGGCGGAGGTGGGTGGGTGGGACGTTTTGGCTTTTCTCTCTTTTTACTACAACCTCGGAACTTTATCTATCTATCTATCTATCTATCTATCTATCTATCTATCTATCTATCTATCTATCTATCTATCTATCTATCTATCTATCTATCTATCTATCTATCTATCTAATCTTCCTACCTGCCTTTCTTCCTTATCTATCCATCTATCATCACTGTTCCTTCTTATCTACCTACCTACCTAATCCCACCTTTCTCTTTAGAAAGGACTCAAGGTGGTGAAACTTAATTTTAAAACTACTCTTATTAAGAAAGAGGTTGTTCGATCAAGATGGGGTGAGGCTACAGCCTCAGTCAAGCTTCCGGGCGGATGTCCAGCCTCGGCATGAGCTCAGAGAAGCATTTCGGAGGAGGCATCGATGGCGTTTGCTGGTTTGGTCTTCCATCCGGAGGAAACCGGCAGGAGCCGGGCCTCGGGGAGCAGGAGGACCTTGAGGGAGTCGGATGAGAGTCACGCCCCCCCCTTCCCTCTTTCTTTTGCCAGGCTTCTGGTGTCCTGCATCCCCAGCTGGTTTTGGGGGCCCGTGGGCACCCTCGGGGACTGCCTGTCTTTGCTGCCGACGAGCTGAAAGGTACGTCCATCGGAGCGGGGAAGGCTCTTTCAGAAATGTTCCAGGCGGTTCGCTGTCCCTAAAACTAGGATTGAAACGAGACCGGTTCGGTTTTCAAGGGGACGGACAGGTTCGCCGTGCGCGGGAACCGAGCTCTCTCTCGTCGGTTAGGCAAGAGAGACCAGGAGACACGTCAGCTGCTGGTCAGAGAACGCAAGACTGTGTCGGATCTCGTCCGGAGACTGGCCAGATTGTAAAGCAGCTGCAGAAATGCGAAGAACCTTCCCCGCGTTTGGTCACATAGTTTTTTTTTTTGCTCTTTTCAGGTGACAACATGTACAGCTGTGAGCGATGTAAAAAGTAAGTCCCTTCTCTCCTCCTTTTGAAAGAAGACTCTTTTCCTCTCTCTGTGGCTTTCTGGGGGGGGGGTTGCTTCCCTCCGTGGCCTCTACCCTAAGGGGCCCCCTTATTCGTGGGATCGGGATCCTCTGATTCGCTTATCCGCAGCCTAAAAACTATGAAAAATACGTCTAGGGGTTGGTCTTAAAATAGCGTTTGCTATCATCTACATTTTCCAGCCGGGGGGTGCTTCCCTCCATGGCCTCTACCCTAAGGGGGCCCCTTATTCGTGGGATCAGGATCCTCTGATTCGCTTATCCACAGCCTAAAAACTATGAAAAATATGTCTAGGGGTTGGTCTTAAAATAGCATTTGCTATCATCCACATTTTTCAGCATCCGCGGGGGGGTGTGCTGAAACTGACCCCCTGCAGATACAGGAGTGGGTGGGCAGTTTTCAAAAGGGGTTTTCAATTCCAGATTTGCTCCGGGGAAAAGCCGGAACCTGATCCTCTTTTAAAAAAATTTTTTACCCCTCTTTCCTTCCCCAGGTTGCGGAATGGGGTCAAATACTGCAAAGTCCTCCGACTCCCCGAGGTAAGGGGTAGAAATGTTGCTTCAAATTAAAAGCCCAGAGATAGATCTGGGAGGCTTCCAGCTTGTGGTTCATGCCTTGAGCAGCAGGCTTGCAAATCGACCGGGTCGCTCTGAGCCGCGTTCGATTTCTCTCCTCCTAGATTTTGTGCATCCACCTGAAGCGCTTCCGCCACGAGGTGATGTACTCCTTCAAAATCAACAGCCACGTCTCCTTCCCGCTCGAAGGCCTGGACCTCCGGCCATTCCTGGCCAAGGAGAGCGTCTCCCAGATTACCACCTACGACCTCTTGTCTGTCATCTGCCACCACGGCACAGCGGGCAGTAAGTCTGGCTCCTGCCTGCTTTTAAGTCGTTCTGGAAAGCCACTGGCGAAAGCCAGAGACACTGGGAATTCCAAAGAAGGTCCACCTCGGGTGGGAGACACATCCCGGCTAGTTCTTCTCCTCGTGGCTAGCCTACCTGTGGAGGGAGGGAGGCGATGGAGGGCCAGAGAGAGGATTGGTTCCAAGCAGATGCTGGGAAAATGTGGATTATATCGAACACTATTATAATAGTGAATGTTCTACATAGGATGGTGTCAGGCTCTCTCTCGTGGCCTGGTAATACGGGGTGAAAATTCTAGATTTTTTTTTACTGTGTATAGCGTTTGCTAATATCCACGGTTTTCAGCATCAGCGGAGGGGCTTGCAACCAATCCCCCACTGATATGGGGGTCCTACTGTACTGTGGCTTTATAATAAGCCCAGTGTGATTCGCATTCAACTGTATTCTAGTTCCTGTCTGTTATAGTCCGGAGCCCTCCATTCTCTCACCTCCCGAGCCTTCCTTCCGGTAAATCTCTCCCTTCCTCTAAGGTGGCCACTACATTGCCTACTGCCAGAACGTGATCAATGGCCAGTGGTACGAATTTGATGACCAATACGTCACGGAGGTACACGAGACGGTGGTCCAGAACGCAGAGGCCTACGTTCTGTTCTACAGGTAAGGGCCTCACCGGCCAGGCCTTCTTCGATGACGGGGACGCAGAGGAGGGGGCGGAAACGGGCCGTGCTGCTTTGTCGCCATCATCACCATAGAACAGCAGCGGAGGAGAAGGGGACCCTCTAAGATCATCACGGCGTCCAGCCCTGATCAAGGAGGCCCTGTTTGGTGGGGGATCGAACTCCCGGCTTCTGGCTCCGCAGCCAGAGCGATCACCCTCTTCGCCCACCTGCCTTGCTTCCCCACCTGTCCTCCTCCAGGAAGAGCAGCGAGGAGTCTGTGCGGGAGCGTCAGAAGGTGGTCTCGTTGGCCACCATGAAGGAGCTGGGCTTACTCCAGTTCTACATCTCCCGGGAATGGCTGAACAAGTTCAACACCTTCACCGAGCCCGGGCCCATCACCAACCACACCTTCCTGTGCCCCCACGGAGGTGAGACCGGGGGAGGTGAGACCGGGGGGGGAGGCGGAAAGGATGAGGAGAGGCCCCCTTTCCAGAGCAGTGGGTATCTCCTGTGCCGAGCGGCAAGCGCCAGCCGTTGGCCGTCTGCAGCCCGGGCCGTTCCGTCTTCCCAAACCTGGTGTCGCTGACGGATTGTGACATACGAGGACTCGGGAGACCCGGGTTCGAATCCGTTTGGCTGTGGAAACTCCCAGTGCGGGTGGCAGCGGTCAGACCACTCCTTAAATATCTCACTGACCTGGAAAACGGATCGGAAAGCCCCTCCCTGCCAGATTTGGCTTCGTAGGTGAGCCAGCGGTTGGAGGGTGCAAGGCAGAGGACTTCTGCCTAAAGACATGATCCGAAATCTTCCCCTCTCTACCTGCCTCCGAGCTGACTTTGGGAAGAGTCCTTCCCTTCTGGGGTGTAGCCAAATTGCTGTCATTCTCAGCTCGAGCATTAAGACAGCTCCCCCCCCCCACCGCCGGAAAGGATGCCGTGCTTAACGCCGCCTGCCTTCTCCACCTCATTTCCTTCCAGGCATCCCTCCGAATAAGTACCATTATATTGATGATCTCGTGGTGATCCTTCCTCAGAACGTGTGGGAGTACCTCTACAACAGGTAGGGAGTCCGCCCGGCTTCCGGGGAGGGGGCGCTCGGGTCGCAAGAGCGGCTCCAATGCCAACCCCTTCGTGGGCCAGGAAGGAGGCCGTTAGCATCGGGGTGTGTGTGTGTGCCCCAAATTGAGAGGAGCTCAAAGCGCGGCCTCAAACATGTTGTGCACTTCAAAATGTGGGTTCTAGCGAAGAACGTCTGGGGGGACCCAAGGATGGGAATGTGATACCTAGCTAGTATGGTCTCTGGCTCTCTCTAGCGGCCAACCCTGGGAACGTCATTGTTAAAAATATATATTTTGGGATTTTCCTTCTAATATTTTCAGTCCGTGGATAAGTGGATCCGCGGATACGGATCCCACGGATTGAAGGGGTCCTCCTGTAGCTTGTGCCAAAGGGACATGTTTTGTTTTAAGGGGGTGCTGGGTTTTGTTTTTTGTTTTTTGGAGGCATGCAGCTGCAGAAGTGTGGGTCTCATCCTTACCACACATTGGCGCATGTGGGGGGGAGGGAGGTGGCTGCCCGGCCACCGTCCCACCCCGCGTCCTCCTCCTCTTCATGTGCAGGTTCGGTGGTGGCCCAGCTGTGAACCACCTGTATGTGTGTTCAGTGTGCCAGGTGGAGATCGAAGCCCTGGCTAAGCGGAGGAAGGCGGAAATCGACACTTTCATCAAGGTACCGTCTCCGGCGCCCGACCAGCCCACGCGGGCGGGGAACCCAAAGGTGGCCTCAGAAGGCCGAAGGAGAGAGAGAGAGAGAGAAAGACACCCTCTTGCGGCCAAGAAAAAGAACATTAAAACAGCTGTGGCCACAGCCAATTCCGGTCACTTCACCATTGAAAATATATATTTTGGGGATTTTCCTTTTCCTCTTTTTAATATTTTTCAGACCGCAGATGAAGTGAATCAGTAGATACTGATTCCCAAAGATACAGGGTGCGTTGTGTGTGTGTTGAGTCCTAGGATTTTTGCCAATGATTAACTTCTTAAAAATAGTGTCACAAAAAAAAACAGACATTAAGCAACACGATAGGGTAACAGACAGTTCGACCGAATAACCAGTGGGATGATAGAAAAAGAACATTAAAACAGCTGTGGCCATGGGGAGGGTGGGTTTTCCCACGGAGTAACAGTATTCATAACCCTGCCCTCGTTGGCCTCGTTTCTCTCTCCTCTGTACTTTTTTTTCAACCAGCTGAACAAAGCGTTCCAGGCGGAAGAATCCCCCGGCGTCATCTACTGCATAAGCATGCAGTGGTTCCGGGAATGGGAATCCTTTGTCAAAGGCAAGGATAACGGTAAGGAGCATCCATGCCCCTATTTACTAGTTACATCCTATGAAAATCATGCCTGTAATTGTGACAAACCTCCAGTCCTGGTGAAGAACGAGAGGATGTGAAAAGGAGGCGTTGGCCCAGGAAGGGAAGAGGGAGCCCACCGGGGGGGGGGGGGGAAACGGGATGGATTCCTTCCGTGGAGCAACCTTGGTGGAAGTCCGTTCTGCCAGACGGGCGTCGATTGGCCTGAAGGGAGTCAATGGGGTTTTCCTCTCCAGCAGAACCGCCCGGACCCATCGACAACAGCAAGATCGCTCTGGCCAAAGGAAGCGGCCACATCCAGGTCAAGCCAGGTAAGATCCTTGGGGTTTATTTTTTTCCAACTCCTTTCCGCCCTCCTCTACCCGCCGTCACCCTTGAGATGAAGGGTGGCTGTCCCTCTGGGCTTTGCTCGCTTTGGGTCACGTAGAAAAAAAAATAACGGCCTCCAATGCAGCGTGGTCGTTCCCGAATGCTAAACGTGACTTTGGATCCGTGTCGGGTGTTCGTAATTTACTATTGCTGACGGCAATGATAATACACGAGGCCTCCCTGTATCCGTATGTTGCGTGATCCCTGGCTCTATCTAGTGTCTTGTTCTGGTAAAATATAAATCTGTATCCCTGGGTTTTTTTATTTAGTATTTTCAGGCAGTGGATCAGTGGATACTGATCCCGCGGATAAGGGGAGTCCTACTGTAATTGTATTTTTTTTAATAAGACAAGATACCCATTTGCTGTAGCATATGCCCTTAGGACACACACACACCCCTGGTCGTTCACTGGCTCACTTTCCTGCCGGCTCCCTGTGCGTTTGCAGGAGCGGACTACGGGCAGATTTCAGAGGAGACGTGGACGTACCTGAGCACGCTTTACAGCGGAGGCCCCGAGATCGCCATCCGGCAGAACGTGGCCCAGGTGCCGGAAGTCGAGAGTCTGCACGGGGAGCAGAAGATAGAGGCGGAAACCCGGGCTGCCTAAGGTAGGTGAGCCGAACGCCGGCTCTGCCCGTAACGAGGTTTCCCAGCCACTGCGTGTGGGTTCGGCCGTCAGGAAGCCTGTCGGGTCTGTTGGCGTTGGAAGCGCCCATGAACGTCCAGAACCTGGTGGACAGAAGCCTTCCTGGGAGAGCCGGTGGCCTCTGGCGCACCTCTGCGCTAATAGCAGCGGTCCACTGTGTCGACGGTCTGCCGGGAAAACAGCATGACGCGCCCTCTCTCTCCTCGCTTTCGCCAGGTTGGGACGTCGCTTCCCTGCGGAGGGGCAGACAGTTCTGCACCTTCAGAGTCCAGACACTCGTTCTCTTGTATTTATGGAACTCGGAACCTACCAAGCAACCGCCGCCAACCCTGCCTTGCCCGCAGTGAGTAACATAGCCAACCCGTGTGAATTTCAGCGCCCGGCCTCCTCGTGGTTTGCTCGCAGGCGAGAGAGCAGCCCCGCGGACCCGATTTTGCCTAGAGGTTCACAATTCCAACTGTGGAAAGAAGGACCCCTTTTACACAAAGGCCAGTTTAGTGTTCGATTCCCCCCTCCCCACAAATACTCCTGCGCAGCCTTCAAAGAGCTTCTGGATTTCCTTTCAACGCGGCTTGGAACAGCGTTGGGCGGCCCGTTTACCCCTTGGAGCTGGTTTCGCATCCGGGTCCTCCCTGCATAGATCCTCCGGCCACGACTTGATGTCGGCTCTTCAGGCACCAGCTGGCGGCCTGCGGTGGTATCGTAATTTTATTTCCCCCCCGGCCTCGTTTTTGTCTTATTTCGTCGTAAATGTAGCCGTTCTGCTGGAGCCGACCCAGAAGAAAAGTGGGGTGTTTTGGGGGGGGGCACAGAGTCTGGAAGGCAAGCCCCCTTCCATCCTTTTTATTTTCTGTTGCACAGAAATGGATTTTGCTTCCCTTCTTCTGATGGGAGATGAGTTATCGGAACGCCAGATTTATCCAGTAATTAACTATTTATTTATGTATTTACTTGCAAGGCTCGAACCGCCCCCACCCCTTTATCCCCTTTATTGTATTCAAGACAGCTTCTCCCACACCCCACGGACACCCCACAACTCTTAGCGAACCAGACACAGCTGGGCGGTGTGGCCACCCCACGGACTTTGGCTGCCCGGAGAAAGCAGATACCCCTAAATAAGCCCTTTTGCAGTGCCATCATCTCACGCAGGGTGATCCAGTGCACCCCAGAAGCCCAACAAGCTAGAGGTCCAGGAACCCCCACTGAAGTCGGACCTGTGGTTTGGTTCAGCCTGAGCCCCTCCCCTTCCGTGGTAGACGCGCCGGTCTTGCAGCCCCCCCAGTCTACGGGATGTGGCAGATTCTCGGGGGAAATTCCTCCCGCCCCACTATCCCAGGGAATAGATCCATTTATCCACAGGACTCATTTATTGAACGCAACTCTGAATTTGGACGGGACGCCCGGTTACAGAGACACTTGAGGGAAGAGAATATAAGATTTCCACTGTCTCTGTGGTGCAATTGACACAACGTGGCACTCTTCTACACACACACAACACTCCTTCAAGCCTCGCTGAAGGCTTCGTGGATTCAGCGCCATCGCACTCCGGCCAGCTAGTGTTCCTTGGGGGGTTCGGTGGCAGAGACCGAGATCTGTAACGAAAATTCGGCATCCGGAGATTTGTGTGTTTGCGGGGTGCAAAAGAGTCTGCTGCGAATCCGTGGTTCTCCTTTCCAAAAGCAAACGAAGACAGAGCGCGCTCTCTCTTAGATGTTTCTCCGTGTTTCTGTGTTTTCCCCGTGGGTGGTTACACCTACCAGACCCTCTTCCAAGCGAAGGGACCACTTGATTCGTGAACGTCCCATGATTCGTGACACACCCAGTAGCACTTCCTATATCTTGCTGTGGGACTTCCGGGGGATCCCTCTGTCACCGTGGTCGTGCTCTCCGTGTGCGTTTTCCAGAGAGGGAGCGCTCGAGACGGTTCCCAACCGGCGCGCCGCGTTTTCGTCCTCCTGTGCTAAGAACGTGAGCCAATAAAACTTGCTTGCAGAGTCCGTGAAATTTCGCATTGCTTGTGTTTTGTCCGTGCTTGTCCTCGTTGCCGCATGAGCTGCCGTGTACACAGCCAGGTTGTCCTCATGCTGAAGCTCAGCCAAGCCTCCCTGACCTCCTTACGCTGTAAGAGTACCTTGGTCCATGTCCACTCCCATTGCGCGAAGGCCATTTTCAAATCTGTCTCCGCCAAGAATTTATTTTATTTTATTCTGTGCGCAACCAAAGCTACAGCAGGACCCCCTTACCCGCGGGATCAGTATCTGCTGATTCACGTATCCACAGTACGAAAATATTAAAAATAATAAAATTTCCCAGAATAGAACAATCCTAGAAAGATCTGTTTCTAGAGATGAAGTTATCAGAACTGCCCACTAAAAGGAGGCAGAGGCCATGTTGTGCATAGCATTAATTAGTATAATCGTGTTTGCTATGTATGTTTGCTATAATTCATCTTTTTAAAGCATCCACAGGGGACGTTTAGAACCAACCCTTGGTATATGTGTGGGGGGGGTCCTACTGGCATGGCAAATCTTGAGATCATAGGCAGCTAACGTTTTAATACAGATATTTAATGGGTGGAACACATTTCATTTTGCATTTTTAAATCGCAATCAACAAGGCTTGTAACGTGCTTTCAAACGGAAGCATTTTATTTGATAGAATTTTGTCTCCAGAAACAAATGAGTCGAAACACCAACATGTCTTTACATTTGGGAGAAGGGGGGGGCTATACTGAAACCATACACGCACGCCCATTGAAGATGCCACCATAACCTAGATTAAAAAGAATCCAGTGTCTATAAACACACAGAAATCAATATTTCTTTTTTTGTAAAATAAAAAAAAGTGCTCGACGTCATATGTTAAAATATAATTTGGCTTTTAAAAAAATCTTTTTTTGACACCTTCAAGCATGAGAAGGGAATGAAATCAATACATGGCAGAACCTTTGAAAAATAGTCAGCATTAAAACACAACTTTTCCGTAAATATGTTTCTTTTCTCTCGTCTATTTACATATGTTAAGAAAGGGTTTGGGGGAGAGAAGGGGGGGAAAGGGTGACTTTCAAGGCGAGAGGCCCACTCTCACCTCCCCTCTTTCAGTAGGATCGCAAGAAAGTCATCAGTTGTTATAAACCCGTTGCAAAAATTCGTATCAAGTTCAATTTCTGAGGCTGAATTCCTCTTAAGTGCAGATGGAGCTTTTTCTTAGCACAAGATCCTCACCACCGCCCCCTTTCTGTGCACAGAGTTGTCTTCTTGCATCATAAAAGAAAAAAAATCCAGAAGTAAAATTTTTTCACCCTGTATTACCAGAAAGGGCTCCTAGAGGGAGCCAGAGACTCCATAGCGTGTTCTCTGGCTCCCTCCAGTGGCCGGTTCTGCTAAATGCATCGTGAAAATACTTTTTTTTCACTTAATTTTTTCCCCCAGACTGTGGATAATTGTATTAAGCATCCTGGCGCTTGGTAGAGAGTGACAGATGGGAGACCTTTCACCAGGAGCAGGTCGCCTTGCATAAGAACCTGTTGCTGGAGGGGCCTCTTGCAACCAGCCAGACTCCCCCGGGAAGCTCACGAGCACAGCATGAAGGCAGCAAGACATTTGTTTTTTCTCCATTATCTCCACATTATTTTCAGAGGTAGAGTGCCTCTGGAGCTGGAGGTTCCACGTACATTTCCCTGGTTTCTGCTACTGGCAGCGTGACCCTGGGGAGGGATGTCTATGTGATTTTCCAGCCATCTAAGACTATGAGCTATTCATGCCGTAGAAAGGTTCCCACGCTCTCTGCTACAGATTTTGGTGGTTGTTTTTAAAATGTGCATGGTAAAACAGGGAGATGGGAGGTGGAACCCACACGCCAAGGGAACCTGCCCTCCGTGAAGTCAAAAACGCTGGCCTAGAATTACCGAAACAGACCATCATTGCCTCGCCTTGGGCGTCTTGCCTGCTGTGAGCGATCGGATGATGTCGGGACTTGAACCCCAAACCACGGGGAAACAAAGCAGACAATGACTTTGCCACCCTTCCGAATCTTTGCAAGCTGCCGGCTGGATTAAGTAAAAGTTAGGCCGGGTTTGGTAAACAGATAAAGGGCCCGTTTATTGTTAACTTTGTCCATCGAAAAAGGCGCGTGACGGGAGCGAGATCGAGAATCTTCTCGGGAGCGCTGTCTGTGCAGGGGGTCCCGGGTGCCGATGCTGCGGCTGCCGATGCCCTGGGCCTGTCTGTAGAGTCAAGGAGAGCTGGAGGCCGCCTGGGGGGGTACCTTCTTCATCCCTTGTGGTTCCCCGCTGGTGCTGAAAGGAGCAGCTGCCCCAGACCCTCCTTCGAGGCTGGTCTTCGGGCGTTCCAGAGGCACAAGGAAAAGGAGAGGGGAGCCGGAAGGCAGCAAGCGGGCAACCTGAACGGACTCGCCTAGGGCGCTCTGCGACTGTCAGGGGCGATGGGAGTGGCTTCCCCTTCCAGACGCAGCGTTGTTTTTTTAAAAAAGGATTTAAAAGCGGGCCCAAGGAGCAGGCAGCGTGGAAAGGAGGGGCTCGGAGGGAGACGGGCCAAGACAGGTGGACAAGCCAAGAGTGCAATTTTGCTTTGATGCGGGAGTTTTTAGTTTTTTTGGAAACGCTGAAATAAATAATGCCAGATTGTGCGGAGACAGCATGCAAAAAAGAGAGAGAGAGAGAGCAGCATCTCCTGATGCCAAACGGAAAGAACCAAATAAATTAAAACGGCAGCAGTGAGCTTAAAAATAAAAATAAAAGGCAGGCAGGCTCGAGCAAGGCGACAGGGCGAGCATGCGGGCAGTAAGGCGGTGGAAACCGAGGTCTGCGGGAGGCGAGCCGGCTGGAAGCGGACTTACAGGGTTATGGTTGCAAGGTGTGGGTGTGTGTCTGTGTGTGTGTGTGAGGGCTAGCACACTCCAGCTGTGGCAGAGCTGGCGGGATTCGTCCTGGGCATCGTTGCGGGCACAGCTACGGATAAAACGAAACCCAGCCTGGCTGGAGAGGGGGTGATGCCCACCTTCTGGAGAGACACAGCAGGAAAGGAGGCCACCCCCCGAGGCCCCCACTAGCAAGCCACCCTAACTCTCGGCCTCGGTTTCCCCTCAGTAAAATGGGAAGCCCATTGCCTGGCCTTGCGTATCTTTTCCAGAAACCTTCTGCCGGCCAGAAGGGGTGTGTATGTGTGTATGGGGTGTCCGTGGCGAAGGTCCTGCCCACCGGATTTTCCTGGTGTGTCTCTCGAAAGGGGAACCACCATGCGTGGCAGGAAAGCTCATTCGCTCCAGGATAGGCACAGCTCAAACCGTGGCATGGAGGGAGACGGATGGGTTAGTCACACGTGGCGGGTGGCATGCTGGGGGGCGCACACAGGGGTGAGTGGCAAGCACAACCGAGCAATGACTTTGGATGCCAGGATGAGACACAGACGGGTTTTTTTTAAAAGTGAGATTTGTTTTTAATTCTTCTTCCGCGGCTTCATCCCGGGCTAGGGGAGCGCCGGATCCGTTATGAGTGGTTTGAAAAAATACCCTCCCCAAAAAAAGTCCAAAAAAACCCCCCAGCCCTGCTACGAACAGGGTGACTTTAAAAAACAAAATGAAAAAGCAGACCACTGTTTTCTCCTCCTGCGCCCGGCTCGCCCCGAAGCTCTTGCGTCGCAGCCGACACGTTTTAGGGATCTACAAAACACAGAGAAGAAGAAAAAGAGAGAGAAGTTGTTCTATTAGGGTGCAAACGTGGTGGGGGGGGGAAGAGAGTTTGGAACGGGAGGCGTTCGCCAATTTGACAAGAGCTACGAGAAAACGAGAAAGAGAGAACCACCCCATCTTCCAAGCGGCAGAACGAGGAAGGGGTCTTAAGGTGACGAGGGGCGAAAAAGTCACGCATGACGAGACCGATGTTGGGAGACGATGCCTCTACGCAACCAGCCACAAGTAAAGATTGAGCAAGGGCGCCCGCAAAGCCGCTCAGAGTGGTCGCATAGACCAAAGAGGGCGCCCACAAAGCGGTTCAGAGTGGTCGCATAGACCAGATGGGCGGAATACAAATAAAATAAAATAAATAAATAAATGTGCCCACGGTGATCATTGCCATAGGGGAGTCCTTCTCGCTTAAGTTGTGTTTTCTTGGCGTCATCTCTGGCACGTCTGGTTCCTGATTCCGGGGTCCCACGGTCTGCCTCTCGGAATCCCCGACGCACAACGGTGTGAAAGGCAGAACGGGGAGACCCGGAGAGCTAACACACTTCTAAGTGCTGGGAGGAAAGGCTATAAGGGGACCCTTAACCCCAGTTCAGCCTCTCAAACTTTCCGGGGTTTATCTGTAGATGCCGGGCCCCTACAACATCTTCTGGTCCGACCAAGCTAGACCCCCCTGTTAGGTCTCCCCCCCACGGACATCGAGAGGAGGAGCGTTTACAGAGGCTTCTCTACAGGAATCTAGCAGGGCGTTAACTTACCGTTCGCATAACAGTAAATGCCAGCAGAAGGGAGGAAGAGTAAAATTACTACGTCTCAGAGCAAACATCACAGCAAATGATCCTATAGGTATGTTTTCGCCCTTTACGATTTCTTTTTTGCAGACGTTAAGGGCTACGTTTTGCTCTAAGAAAACGGCGAAGCTATTCGGAAGCAGAAGCGGAAGATCCTCCACTATGAAAAATAAAAAAAAATCTACCCAAGGAAGCAGGGCAAAAATTCAGTTTTAGGCAGTAACCGAAGCAGCATCTGGCCACTAGGCGGAAGGGAGACTAGGACCGGCTCTTCAAAGAAAAATCGCACAAAGTTGAGAAAATAAACTTTTTTCTTTTATTACAAGACGGGACGGGAATACAGCTACGAGAAATCCAGCAGGAGACATGGGAGGTGTTTGGGGAGGGGGGGTTGAACAGTTTTAGATTTAACAAACCTTGCCTCTGAAGGTGGAAATGTCTTATAATGTCGACTCTGAAGGAGGCCAAGTGAGAAATAAGAGAGAAAGGAAGGGGGGAAAAAAGGGGGAAAAGCTTCAACGGCGTAAACAAGGCTTTGTCCGTCGTTACGAGTTTTGACAGAAGGAAAGTATTTGGTTAGGAAAGTCGGCCAGCAAGACAACGATTCACACAAATACATTTTTTTAAAAGGGGGGGAGTCTGTCACCAAAGAGGAACAAACAAACAAAAAAACTCAAGTCACATTTTAGTTTTAAGTTAAATTGTACAAAACACAGATGCCCTATACAACCGGTACTAACAAAGAGAGAAGAGAGTCACTATGAAGAATGTCTTTAAAAAAAAAAGAAGTTGGCAAGCATTGACATAATCACATTAAAATAAAAAGAATCCCAGATTTCAAAAGTGCCACGGGTCTTGTTTACTTTCGGGAAGTTGGGTCACAAGGAGAGGTTTGGAAAAGACGCAGCGAAAAATTTCCAGCAGCCTTCGCTGGGTGGAATTATTTACATTCTGGAGAGGGAAGGGACATATCATCAACATAGAACTGCGGAGCAGGAAGGGACCCTGTATGATCATCCAGTCCAGCCCCTGTCAAGGAGGCCCCGTGGGGGGGAATCGAACCCCCAACCTTGGCTTCCGCAGCCAGAGAGACCTAAGCCACTGGCCTACCCAGCAGCTAGGGAAGGAAAGGGACTTAATTCTGATCCGGAACACAAACACTGCCGGTTTGTTTTCGTGGGATCACAGCAGAAAAATCGTGGCATCTCGACCCTGCCCTGCCTCGTCAGAGGGAAAACATCCCCGATTTCACCAGCCCCGTGCACGCCTGTAAATGCCACGAAGGCGGAAAAGGTGAGGCCAAAATGAACAAAGGACCGTTTCCCTACCTAAAGAAGACACGAGTGAAAATGTTCGTTAAGGCTGAACTCCTACACATGCTTCCACGGGGAAAAAGCCCCATGAGTTAGGGGTGGGGACTCATTTCCCAAGAAGATGATGCAGGATTTAGCGGTACAAGAAGCCTCCGGGGGGGAGGGGGTGCCTCTCAAGCACGCCGTTCGGCCATCTTTCACATTTTTTCTCAACCAAAGGGGGGCCCGCGACCCTGCCCATGTGGACCGCCGTGGTCTCCCCTCCCTCTCCGCTAAAGTCCATCCCTTTCTCAACCTAAGAAGCAGTAAATGTACTTTCGGGCCACGGGAAGGCTTCTCCCACCACCACGGGGGGCCCGGTTTTGGAGGGTAAGCACCGGCCTTTTTGAGTATTGAGAAAAAAAGAAAACCCCAGGAACACGGTATTAAATGTAAGTCATAGCACCTTTTGCGTTCTTCTCCAAAAAGACTTCCACGTAGGAGGTGGGGACGTAGCCCTCCTCGTCTTCGTTTCTCCGGATCCGCGTCCAGCCATCCCCCTTGTCTTCCTCGATGACGAACAACGTCTCCCCTTCGGTGACGGAAATGGTTCCTTCGTTCTGACCTATGGGGAAGGGGGAAACCCGGGAGGTCAGAGCAGGGGCTTCAAAACGGCCCCTGATTTTCCATCAAGATTTGCATCCGACATCCGGGTGGTAAAAGACGTCGGGAGCCCCTTGGCAGAGATGGGCACGAACTCCCAATTTGGCGGTTCGGTTCCCGTTTGTTTACAGCCACAAGAAATGTTTGGTGGTTCGGGGCCCAGTCCCCCATGGCGGGTGCCCACTCGGAAGCAGCCCCCCCGGCTTCCCTGCCCCGCCTCCTCCAGTGATTTGGCGGTTCGGTCCCTGTTTGTTTACGGGCACAAGAAATGTTTGGTGGTTCGGGGCTCGGAAGCAGCCCCCCCCAGCTTCCCTGCCCCACCTCCTCCGGTTGCCGCCTCTGAGCGGGCAGGGCAGTGAGCCACCAAATCACCGTTTGCGGCACTAAACGAATCGAACGAACCACCAAATTGTTAGTTCGTGCCCACCTCCAACAACTTGTTGAGTCAACGAATTGCGAGTTGCGTGGTGGGGGGGAAGGAGGCGGTCATCCTCTCCTCCGGCCCAGAGAATCCGTCCCATACCTTCAAAGGTATACAGAGCTTTGCACGTCCCGATGGTGGGCAATGGCTCTTCGTCATCAAATTCGTCATCGAACTCCGTGGCCGGCACTTTCACCTCACTCTCCTGGCTCGGCTCCTCTGTATAACTGCCATCTGGACTGCTCAAGACAGGAAAAAAACACAGCAACTATAGCGGAAGGCCTGGCGGGCCAGCCGGCAAGGAAAGGAAGAGTAACCCGTTGTTCGCCCAGCATACAAATACCCTCGTGTCTAGTTCGGGCAGCAAATTCGGGGAGTTCGCGCATTGGCAAAAAAAGCAGCCACAGGAAGCGTTTCCGTGCTGGTGCAGAAAGAAAAGGGTTCAATCCCTCTTCATGTCATGAATTTAATTCTGATCCTCGTTTCCCACGTCAACCTGCAGCTAGTGTGTCAGGGGTTTTGTGGGTTGTTTTTTTTTTTGATGTTCCATCCCTTCATGTATCCACACAAGAGGGTCTGTTTTGGCGGCTGCTCTCAGCCCAAGCCAGACGTGGGGGCAATCAAGAGAGAAGTCAAGGTGAAGACAGCCGGACTCCCCCTATCCGCGGGATCCGTATCCGCTGATTCAGTTTTATCCGCTGGCCAAAAGTCGTAAATAAGAGAGCATCTTTCGAAATCGGTAAGGCGACGCAGCAACGTTTGCTGAAATACACAGATACTGTACCTCTCACGGTCCTGGGCACAGTTGTTGACGGTCAAGGTGTTCTGAGTCTCATACATCCCGCTCTGACGGCGCGTCGGCTCCGTCCGCACCGGCAACCGGCCTTCGACCTCCGCGAGCCAGCCCTGACAGGGAAAATGAGCAAAGGCGGGAGCACAATTCATCATCAAAGACCTGCCTGGGAATTAAAGCATCCTGGGAACTGCAGTCTATAAACCTAAATCTGTACACCTTTCTCTCTCTCTCTCCCTCTCTCTCTCAGAATTAAAGATCCTGGGAAATGCAGTCTATAAACCTAAATCTGTACGCCTTTCTCTCTCTCCCTCTCTCTCTCACACACACACCCCTTGGTAGGAGAAAGATTTCCCATGCTGAGAAAATTTAAAGGGGGCAGGAAAAGAGGAAGCCCTAACACTAGATGGGCTGACTCCCTTAAAGGAAGCCACCGGCTTGCGTTTGCAAAACCTGAGCGGGAGCTGTTGAGGACGGGGCGTTATGGAAGTCACTAATGGAAAGTTGCACTGCCTCTAGACATGGAGGTTCTGCTTAACGAGGTATTCCGACAGTTCATAGCCTGTTCTTCTGGATAGATAAACGCGGAGGGGGCGAGCAAGTTGGTGGGACTGCTTTGGGGAGTCCTCAGGAGCAAAGGGTTCGGGGTACCTCAAATTTCTGAGCCTCCTGCCGCAGCTTCTCCAAGTTCTGCCCGAGTTCGGCTAGCTTGTGATCCACGCTGGCCGCGTCCCCCATCTGCGGGTTCTTGATATAGACGTCTTTCATTTTCGTTAAGGCCTCTCTGTGACAAACGAGGACACGCTCATGAAAAGCCGGGTGGGGGTAGCAGGCTCGTCACCGTTAACGAAAACCACCCCCACTCCCCGGCTCCTTCGGCAAAGGATGCATTTCCAGGGTGCTTGAACTTCGGGGGTGGGTGGGTTTAAAGCTCACGGCAAACCTCCACCCAACATAATCGTTTCCTGCATGTGGATCAGAATCCAGACAAATAATACACATGCACATGTTGCAGGTTGCAAGAGAAAAGGTTTTGTATGTATAGCCTATGGAACAGTTCCATGCCCTCCCTGTGGATACCGAAAACCGTGGATAATAGTTTAGTTTTTTCCTGTGTTCAAAGGGACAGCACTAGAAAACAGGCACTGCTGGAGCAGAATCCGAACTCGGTACTGTTAGCTCAAGACTGGGATTCCCAAGTGGCCTGTTGAGGCACAGACCTCCTTGAGCGCCCATAGGCATCCCGTTCCGCACCATCCCAGAAAATACGATGTGGGGGCTCAAAATTTCCCATTTAAGAGGAACCTTCTGCCATGTGGGGTAGGGGGGGCTTCGATGCACTCCCGGGGAGCCCTAAGTAACTAAAAAAACATTTTTGCGTTTTATAAAAAATGGCCACCAGAGGGTGCAAGGGAGCTTTTCCGGTAAAACTGCACATTTTTGTATGCAAAAAAAATAATAAAAATCTGGGTGGGGGAATTCTTAGCCTGAGTGGTCCCTCTGGGGGTCTGTGTGAAGCCCCCGGTCCTCTGGAGATTACCCCTGACTCGGTCCCCTTCCTGAAACTTCTCAGGGACGACGGTTCTCAGCCCTTCCGATCTGGTTAAATGTTTTTCACAGACCATGAAGGGTGGCAATCTTCCCGCTCTCTACCTCTCCAGACCTCGGGCTAGGATTCAACTTCTCCAAATCCTCAGCCAAGTCGGGATTTAAAGAAGTTCCCGTAAGAAAAGGAAACGCATGCCCAGAAGGCTCTTGACTCTTGCCAGCTGCTTCTAGAACTTGCTGCATAAATCACTCCCAGGCGGAAATCTTTCCGTTCCTTGCTTGCTCAAGACATTTGGGGCTCTTACTTTATTTTACTATTTTTTTTTACTTTGTTTTGTTTCCTTTTGTCCCTTCAAGGACAGAATTTCAGGCTCCTGAAGTGTCCACGGCTATCCGTCTCTCTTTGCAGGTTGCAAAACAAATGATTAGCGATGTACCACTTGAGATTTTCCTGAACTCCAACTCCCAGGGCTTTCCTGTGTTAATGTTCAGAAAAGAAAGCTACTGGGTAGGGCAGTTCTTCAGGAACCACCCTCTATAGGGCAGGGAGACTACAACTCCCAGAACGCCCTTGCAGAAGCTTCCGTTTTTTTGTCCATTAACAACAGGAAGTAGGCCTAAGAAAGCCAGGAAGCCCCGGAGCAAGGCCCTGCAGCAGGCGAGTGAAATGTAGGTACGTTGGGCCATCTGTAGCTCTGGGCTCTCAGAATTTTGCCTGGGGAACTCTTGAATTCAGGGTTTTTTAGAAGGACTTAGAAATGGTTGCTAAGCCGTCTGGAACGCGAACCACTGGGCTTCCGGGGGGAGGGTCACCTCCGCCGATCTGGTTCAGGGGAAGGGGGGGAGAAGCCCATCAGGAAGGAGGCTCAGCCAGCATCTCCTCCTTCTGGGACGGGCTAGACCAACCATACATCAAACGAGTCCCTCAAACGAGTTTCATAGGGCGGGAGGATTTGAATGCAGGTCTCCCCGGGCCTGTCAGCTGGAGATGTAGTGAAACTAGAGGCATGGAGGTTGAGGGAAATCCATCTCCTAGACCCAAATGGTTGCTGTAACCACTACAAGGCCCTCTCTCCTTGGAGGTTCTTGGACTACAACTCCCAGAAGCCTTCACCCACCCGCTGCGCTGGCCACGATTTCCGGGAGCTGCCGCCCAAGAACCTTTGGCGATGATGTCAAAAACTCTCCACGGGCTCAAGACCCAACCCGCCCGTCCCTTTCGGGCGTTCCTACCGTTGATCCACTTCCTTCTGGATGTCCCTGTTGAGTTCGTCCACTTTTTGCTGAAGCTTCTTCCTCCTTTGCTCCGGGGGGAGGTTGCTGAAGTCTTCCGGCCCACCGCCCTGCAGACCGGGAGGAGAGCAGGAGAAAAAAAAAAAAACGATCCCACATCAATTGGTGACGTCTCCTTGCAAGGAATCTCCCGGAACAACGGCGCCCCGTCAAGGCACGCCTGGATAACGTGGTTATCCGGGATTTCCTGATCGTACTGATTTGTAAGAATACGAATTGACAAATTAGCAGTTTTTGAACAAATTTGGCGATTCGTGTTTTTTAAAATTCACGCCCATCTCCAATTCCTACTGTATTGCTCAAGAGGCCGGGGGAATAAAATTCAGCGCCTCACCCCGTGTACAAAGGAAGACTTAGCCAATGGCCGAGAGAATGCTACTGAAGTCACCCACTTCAATATTTTAATTTCTTTTAATTTTTACCTCTATGTCCATCATTTTAAATTGTGCAACGTTCTGCTACGACGAAAGAAAGAAATGCATGGCTGGTCTTCAATTCGTTTCTTTCTTACCGTCGTCTGAGCCGTTCTCTGCTTCGTAATTTGAAAATGTGAATTTTTCTCCAGTTTTCGAATTAAACAGAGTTAACGAGTGGGTTTTTTTTAGTTGGGATTCGCTGGGTTTGATTATAAGACATTAGTCGTGCGCTGGCACTAAAACTACCTAAGGCTGAAAAATATAGCAATGTGGACTCTCCAGTGCAGAAAGGGTGCAGGCAGCATCCAGCTAAATTTATTCAGTTTTGTTTTAAGGCATTTCTAGACCTTTTGACAGTTGGCCTGTCTCCAATTCAACGTCAAGATCGTGCAAGCTTTTAAACAACACAGCACTCTTGGCAAACGGATGCTATCCTGAACCCCTGCCTTAAAGAGTCCTAAACAATCTGGGAATTTGTCCATTTGGTCTGTCCTTCAATTTAGACCTTTATCAAATTATATTGAATTTTTCCTGGGATTTCCAGAGTTCAAGGCATTTTTCCCTTCAATGCAAACATCTTTGCAAATAAGGACAAAACGCGACGTACACGTCAAACGCAGCAAAAGAGCAGAGCGTGAATCAATTTCACTACATTTTTACAGCCCCAGTCACATTTTTTTTTAATAACGAAGTATTCTAATAAGTCAACTATAAGCTACTAAGATTAGTGGTTAATTTTTAGGGGCTCATTCGAAGCATTAAAACTGGATCACCTCCATTAGATTCCAGACCTGCGTATTCAAAGTTATCTGAGGACCGTCAAAGCAAAAAGAAAGGAAAGACAACAGGAAATTTAAGTTAATCGAAGGATAGCAGCTACGCCGGGTGGCAAATCAAGCGCACACAAAATTGTGATTTTTTCGAACACACACACACACACACAAGCATGCTGCAGTGATGCTTACCAGCTTGAGAGAAAGCTTCGCATGAAAACGGAGAGATACAAGGAAGGAAAAAAAGAGAGAGAGAGAAAAAAGAAGTATATATGAGGTGAGGAACTCGGATCAGTGAGTTCCACCGTTATCACAAATTATGAACGCACATAAACACACACGCATTCTCCTGGCTCGGCTTGTGGACGATGGGACACGGCGCTTTTCACACATCTCTGCAAAAGTTCACAAGATGAAGGGGGGCCAGACCTAGATAGAGGCTACCCAAACGGTCCCTGGCCCCATGGAGAAGGGGGAGAAAAACAAATCTATTCCAACTTGTGCACCATGAAAAAAAAAAATAATTATGGGTGACATTCGTTCCTACCCAAAGCAATGCAAAGCTCTATTTAAATAGCCGGCTTCCCCACCCCACCCCCAGTTCCTGGAGTCGCTGCTAAGGGCACCCCAACTTTTTCGACGGGGAGTCACCCATCTTGAGCTTGCTCGTTCACCGCACATTATCCTCACATGTGGCGTAGCTCTGAGGCCATCCCAACTTTCTACCTGGCAGACCCAAAAGACTCTGGGTTCTGGGTTCTCCTTTTTGCTAAAAGACAGCACAGTAAGACCCCTGCCTCCGCGGGGGAATGGTTCCAAGCCCCTCCGCGGATACCGAAACACGCGGATAATAGCAAATGCTATTGTAATAGTCATTGCACCGTCTCCGGCTCCCTCTTGTGGCCAATTCTGGTACTGGCATCCTTAGGAATATATATTTGGGGGGTTTTTCTTAATAATTCTAATGTTTTCAGACTGTGGATAAGTGACTCAGTGGATACCAATCGTATTTCACACCTTTCCGGTTGATTGGTTAAAAACAACCAGCATAAAAGGGGCAGGGACTGCGGGGACTGGAATCAGCAACTTGGTGGAGGCAAAGAAGAACGAGTCGACTAAATGCTTTTCTATCTTCCCCTGTCACAGAACAAGACGGCAGAATGGAAACGGGCAGGATTCTGGACTGCAAACTGCTTACGAGTGTGTTCTTTCATGTTTCTGGATGGGGAGGTCCAGGATTATTCAAGTATTTTGGGAACCGCAGCCAACAAACCTGAATCAGCACACCGGTAGGTTCTGTTGCTCAAAATGAAAGACTCCTGGGAGACGTAGTTCTGGCGCCCATTAGGTTCTACGGAGGGCGCCTCCCAAAGAACTACAGCTTGCCAGAAATATTTCTAAGCTGATTTTCGGGTTTGTCGGCTGCATTTTCCTCATAATGCAAGGCATTGCAGTCCAAAGCCACAAAACAACACACACCTAGCAACCATGGGGGAAAGAGAGCCGAGCCTCCCCATGAAATAGGTTTAGTAAGGGAGGACCTGAGCAAGTAGCGTTTACATGAACACTGTCAGCTTGAAGATTCCACCGGTGCAGGGGTGCCCAACCAGGTGTTCTTGGACTGCAACTCCCAGAAATCCTGGCCAGCCCAGCGAGTGCCAAAGGCTTCTGGGAGTTGTAGTCCAAGAACATCTGGATGACCCAAGGTCAGGAACCCCTGCGGTAGAGCATTTGCAGTATCTGGTGTGTGTGTGTGTGTGTGTGTGTGTGTGTGTGTGTGTGTAACAGAAGAATGCAGCCTTCCATAGATTAACTTACGAAGCTTAGCAGGATTTACCGGTGAGGGGGTGTGTGTGATGAAATTATGGAGCACGGAGAGAACAAGAATTTTTTTTCTCTCCCATTTCTCGTGACACGAGATTGCTCGCATTGCCCAATAAAAAAACTGCTCCGCAGAAAATTCGAGGGAGGCCAATTCACAAACGTATTCGGCACCACAAATTTGCAAAACGAACTACCAGCGTGTGTGGTTGTGGCCACCAATTTAGGTGCCCATAGACAACCCCACTGCTCGCAACTTTTTCCGTTTTTGTCCCCCTGGATAGCAGCCGGATAGGGAGCCTGGGGCCCTAGGAAGTCCATTGTTCCCAGGCCCCCCCTCTCTCTTTCCCCTTGCCAAAGCGACCAGAGATGCCGTCGGTCGCTGAGGCAGGTCGAATCCTCTCCCTTCTATCTCCCACACACCTGCTATTTAAAAACAGGGAAGATCAAGGCCAGTGTCGGTTTGGCCGACTCGCCCTTGGATGGCTCCCGAAAGGGATTAGAGCCGTGGGCGGGTGGGTGGAAAAGCGCTGTTGCGCTTTAGCGCAGATTCCCCGCTACAGCTCATAGTAAGGGGAAACTGGGAGGAGGTTTGGTCCGAAAGATCCTACAGGGCCCTGTTTTGGCTCATCGGACAACTTAATCCCGATCAACCAGGTTTACGGAAGGCTAATTAAGCACCCGCCCTCTGCGGGTTTCGCCATCAACCGCTTTTTGATGGTTCGCGGCCATGCCTGGAGCGACCGGCCGTCCTATGGGTCACGTTCTGTTGTTCTCCGCCTGGCTGGTCATTTTTCAACGTCCAGCTAAACCCTACGAATGAACGACTTCCATTAGCAACCTTGCCGAGGTCCTGGAAACTAAAAGCCATGGCTTCTTTTACGAATTCAATCCATCTCGTCCTCCTCTTCTCCCACGGCCTTCCACTTTTCCTAGCGAGCCTTTCTCCTCTTGACGTGTCCAACGTGTAATCGCTTGAGATGAGTCGTCTTAACCTCTACAGAGGGGTTCCTGATCTGGAACCTCTACATTTGTCTTTTTGACAGTCGGGCGCGGTGGGATCCCTTTAAAGCTCTCCTCCGACATCACGCTTACAAATGAGTCCATTTTTTTCTCCCGCCTGCTTTCTCCATGGCCCACCCCCACTAACTGGGTAGCCTAGGAAGCTCCCTTATGCCAAGCCACGATCTTGGGGCCAGGAAGCCGGGAGTCAACGTGGCGCCCTTCCAGAGGCACGACCCGGTCAGTGTAAAAAAGAAAAAAAAGAAGCCGAGCAATCCACGATCTGGCTTTGGAGACTTGGCAAGTGAAAGCAAGCTCAGTTCCTGCCACTGCCAGGCAGTGGCCAAGGGTTCAAGATCGAGGGCCTGGCCCGGCTCAAAGGAGCAAGCCTTGCTTGTTAGAAAGAGGCATAAGGAACTGAGCGCACAACGAAAGGAAGTAGATCCTCAAAGACTAACCCTCCTAGTGGTTTTTCTAAGCCTAGAAGGGGAGTGTCGTGGGATCTGATCCTCTCCGGTCCCACATCCCAGACCCTCCCCAACCTGTGAACTTCAGCAAAGACACAACATGAAGAAGCGGTAGGGGAAACTCCAGATGATGCGTTTTACAGACAACGGAGGTACTACGGGAGGAAACCGGTTTGCCTACAGAAGCGGGCTCTCTACGGAAACCATCTCGACGCTACATGCATGGCCAGCTAGAGGCAGCTAAGTGTCTACTCCGAGGCGGAAATAAGTGCCAGCCACTACTATCGCTGGAGTTGCCGTACATTCAGCGTAAACTAAGGGCCAAGACTTAACACAGACACACACACACAGCATGCCTAGGCTTTTCTTTTAATGGGAGGAAGGGGTTTAGATTGGCGTCTACAGGTCTTTGACAAGGGGAAGCGTCCTTCTAAGCTATACGATAACCAGGCACCGAGTCAAGAGCATCACATACACACACACACCCCAAAAAAATGCTCACCAAAGCCTTGTTAAAGATCTGTGCAAGCAGCGTGAACAACGAAGTGATAAAAAACTCATTTAAAATATCATACATGGAACCAAGAGGAAATACTATGGGGAAAAGACTCAAAGGGGGACTCTGAGGGAGTTTTTCCTGATCTAGAATTGCTTAAACGCGACACTGCAAGAAAGGCCCTCGTGGTTTTTTTGCCATACCACCGTTTTCATAGCCATGTTGAAAAGTCGCAATTTTACGTTCTTTGTCTGGCACATCTGGACAAAAACCCTCCTGAGGTAAGTTGAAAATTCGCATCTGCATTTCATAGACTGGAAGGGCCTGAATCTAAGATGGCACCAGTTTGTTGGCGAAAGCGGAGGTGAATCAAGAACTTTCCAGATTTGCAGTTCGGTCTCTTAGGTGTGACACCACTCTAGTTTTTTTGAGTAAAAACAAATGTGTTCTTTGTCGAAAGGGACCGAGGTCTAGATCAGTGGTTATCAAATCAGACCTTAAGAGGAAGGTATATTCCTTATAATTCCCATGATAGCTGCTTACATTCAAGTGAAATAAATGGAGGCAAATAAATAAAACATTAATTTTGCAATTCAACAGGCCTTATTAAAGTCAAGCTGCAAACAGAACAAGGATCTATTTTTATTATATTGCCCTTGAGATTCTTTTTGCTGCATTGATTAACTATGCATTTGAGCTGCTCCTCTCCAAATGACTTACAGCACTCATTACATCTTAAAATGTGACAAGAATCACTTATTCCAACCTGTCCCAATTGAGGGCCGTGTCTTCCCCGGATGTTCGCAAACTACAACTTCCATCTTCTCTAATTTTTTAGGACAATGGAAGATGTACTGTATTTTTCCGTGTATAAGACACCCCATGTATAAGACACCCCCCCACTTTTCTAATCCAAAATTAAGAAATCTAAGTGGGGCTTAGGAAGTATAAGGGGAAAGGGATCAAAGCGCTGCAGGATCGCTTTGATCCCTGCTTTCCCCTCCACTTTTGTTCTCTCCTCAGCTTACTTCTGTGTATAAGATGACCCTCAAATTTTAGTCTAAAGATTTTAGACAAAAGTATAGTCTTATACACAGAAAAATATGGTAGTTCAACATCCCTTCGGGTGGGGGGGCTCTTATTGGCAAAGGCGAGGCTGAGCCCCTGTGGGCAGATTTCAAGGTAAGGGCTGAGGGAGGGGGAGAGATTTCTCCTAAGTTCAACATCTCTTCGGGTGGGTGGCTCGGATTGGCAAAGGCGTGGCTGAGCCCCTGTAGGCAGATTTCAAGGTAACGGCTGAGGGAGGGGGAGAGATTTCTCCTAACGAGGATCTGGCCACTAACAAACCACAATTCTACGAAATGCAAAAAGAACGAAAGCAGAACAAAACAGAACAGATCCGTTCAGGCACATTTTTTTTTCTCAAGATGAGACTACGGTAGCCTTTTGCGGGGAGAGCAGATGGGAGGAAGCCTACGAGCCACGAGCGGCAATAACACACCAGAGCGCATGAAAAGCCAGCAAATCTACGTGTTATTGTTTTGGCACGAACTACGACTCTCACTTGAACACCGAGCAAGAGGGCTTTTCGCAAATCTCCGGGATTGCCTACATAAACGTTTTCCCCGTTGCCTCCTTTAAGGGCCTCAGATATATCTATTGTCAAACTCAAAGAAGCAAAATATAGGCTTAAATGGGGTACCCTTTTTATGTTTACAAGGCCCTGAGGACCAATGTTTCTTTCTACAAGTCTCTTTCTATCTAACTAAGATGGAGTAAACAGAAACAGGAAGTGATCTCAAAGAAAAAAGGAAGCAAGCCTAAGAAGGCCAATCTAATTGTAGATCTTGAAAAGGACAGAGAGAAAACACCCACACCCACCCGATTCAGGTCACTTTCTACATACGCTGGGGCTCTGTTCCAACAGTCAATATATACTGTATTTTTCGCTCCATAAGACGCACCTTTCCATAAGACGCTCCAATTTTTTAGAAGAAGAAAACAGGAAAATATAATATGTTTTCTTCACTCCATAAGACGCACAGACTTTCCACCCCCGTTTTGTGGGGGGAAAGTGCGTCTTATGGTGCGAAAAATACGGTAATTAGATGTCTAATTAGTTTAAAACTGGTCGTGGATGCTTCTGATCTCTCTTCACTGCCTCACCAGGGCCTGAAGCTTGCTTCCAGAGTGCCAAATTCTAGCTCAGCATTGCATACAAAAGGTGGCCATTTCCTTCACTCCCAACTTTTATCCCTGTTTAAGAACTACGGATTCCTTCAAATATCTGGATGCCCCTGTCGTTTCTACTTCTATGCCTGATTTGTTTTTGTTTTTTACATCTTCGGCTGCATCTCGTTTTTTAATTGTGATTTTTTTTCCAATTTCGATGTCGCTCACGGGATTTTTTTTCCCCTCCCGGCCGAAGCAACGGCCCGCCCGCCCCTCTTGCATCGCTGTAAGTGGGGGTCCGTGGCTGCGCAACGGCCGTAGAGGCCCGGGCACACCATACGTGGACTTACAACGTATTCCCTAGCTTCAAGAGCATATGTGGGCTTGCCTAAGGTCCTCTTCATGAGTTCTTTGTGAAAATATAAAGGCTGGGACTGCTGGTGAGTCAGCAAGAGAAAAAACAAGACGCATTAAAAGAGGTGTGGGGCAGGGAGAGAGAGAGAGAGAAAAAACTTTCTTATTTATATCTCTACAGGCAAAACAAAACAAAAAAGCCACACAAAGCAATTAAGTGCCTCTTTGCCTCTAGTCCTCATGTTATGACCGAACGTCACAGAGCAGCATCTGGGGGTTATTCTCACATCTGTCTCTCTGGACACCTGGGACTGGAAGGAAGATCCTTTGGGCAATCTGCGGACAATTTTCTTTTTTCTTATTTTTCTTTCCTCTCCACCCCACCCCCTTTTCCCCTTTTCTTTTTGGCCGCGCAGGAAACCCACTTTGCAATAAACGGGTCTGAGCGGGAGATTCTGATTTGGTTATTTGGATCTTCGGATTCAAAAATTGTGGCACCTTGTAGACCGGGGTCTATTGCTGGGCCTAGCAATGTCCGAGCTTCCTGTTCCTGCTCCCATGATAACTGGAAAGGTTTTTTTTTTTCCCTGAACAGGAAGCTAGGCCTAGCTCGGCCTGTTTATTTTTCCCCCTGAACAGGAAGCTAGGCCTAGCTAGGCCTTAAGGCCTTCCTGTTTAGGCCTTGCTCCCAAGTGAGCCACAATAGTATGTATACATTAGCCCTATATTAACCATATACAGTGGTGCTCGCTAAACGATTGCCTCGCAGGACGATTAATCCGCTAGACAATTAGTTTTTGCGATCGCTGTTGTTTATTTTTCCCCCTGAACAGGAAGCTAGGCCTAGCTAGGCCTTAAGGCCTTCCTGTTTAGGCCTTGCTCCCAAGTGAGCCACAATAGTATGTATACATTAGCCCTATATTAACCATATACAGTGGTGCTCGCTAAACGATTGCCTCGCAGGACGATTAATCCGCTAGACAATTAGTTTTTGCGATCGCTGTTGCGCTTCACAACTGTTGTGTTTCACAAGACAATGGTTTCCTATGGACAATTTTCGCAAAACGACGATTTTTCCTCATTGGAACGCATTGAATAGATTTCAATGCATTCCAATGGGGAACCGCGTTTCACAAAACGATGTTTCCTATGGACGATTTTCACAAAACGACGATTTTCCCATTGAAAAGCATTAAATAGATTTTAATGCATTCCAATGGGGAACCGCGTTTCGCAAAATGATGTTTTCGCAAGACAGCGATTTTCACGGAACGAATTAACATCGCCTAGCGAGGCACCGCTGTATAAATATTTAGGCTGCATATCCCGCAAGTTCCTACTCTTGACAGTTCAACACCTGCAATGTTAGCTACGCCAACATCAGGAGAGCAGCATTTTCTCTAGTGTTGACTCCCCTTCAAGTTCATCGAGCGAGGCACCACTGTATAAATATTTGGGCAAGTTCCTACTCTTGACAGTTCAACAACTGCAATGTTAGCTACGCCAACAACATCAGGAGAGCAGCATTTTGTCTAGTGTTGACTCCCCTTCAAGTTCATCGACTTCCAGATCAGTGTGATGGGGTCTAGCAGGAGTTGGAATACATGATTTTTTGATATCTGAGTCTTTGGCACCAAGTCCCGAGTTCGAATCTTTGGCACCAAGTCCCGAGTTCGAGCCTTTGAAATCTGAGCCTCTGTTAATAACAAGCTTTTCCCCCTCCAAAAAAAAGAGAAAAAAAGGATGGAATTCCAGTCCCCATACATTTTCCCAGCACCAATGAGACTCAAGGGTGTGCTGCAGAGCAGTTCGATCGTAACATGGAAAGCGGCCGGTAACTCCAGTCAGAAAAACCATTTCATTTCATTGATAACCGCTTTAAGTCGATACCTGATTTGGACAAGCTCAGAAACACAGGCAGCGACCGATTCTAATCCGGATTAAGAACATGTTATACAAAATAGGAATAATAATAAATGGGAAATAAATCCCAAAGGCTGGAAACCAGGAAGGCGTTCTTTCTCTTATTTCCTATCAACTTACACAAAGACACACCAAAGAATCGCTACAGGTGGGGTTGGGAAGGTGTTAAGGCGGAATGTCTGCAGGAAAAGCGTCCGGGATCGTCTCCAAAGAGAAAGGACGAGAAAGCGTGATATAGGATCGAGAGGATTTTTTTTAAAAAGGTGAATTACAGTGGTGCCTCGCTTAACGAGCAGAAACCCACATTTAAGAGGCAAATGAAATAGACCTGCGCCTTTAGCAGATGGCTCAAATCGAAATGGACATGCCAAGAACCACTGGAGGGGGGAACTCCAGCAGTTTTTCCCTCTAAAAGCCGCTTTAGAGGACCTCAGCACCCCCCCCAGTGCTGCACTACAACACCCATCCTCCCCGAGTCGTGAGACACAGAGTCCCGTCCCATAGGGACAATTTGTGTGTATGTGTGTGTGTGCGGTTTTCATTGTGGGAGTTGTTGACGGAGGTAGCGGTTCCCAAACTTTTTCGTGGCTCCTTTGACTCCCTGGCCACTGGCCGTGGTTTCCCCCCAACACAATGCTTTGGGGGAGGGAAGGGAGAAAGCCAGAGGGCAAAGCTCGGCCCGAGGAGTCCGTCCGTGGACGGATTTCTGGGGATTCCGTGGCACCCCCCGGCTGGGTTTCACCACTGTACATGGTCAATGGAAGAGGGGAGGGGATCAACAACGTCCACAAGGCACAAACCACAGAAACCCACGTTTAAGAGGCTAATGAAATAGACCTGCCCCTTTAGCGGATGGCTCAAATCGAAATGGACACGCCAAGAACCACTGGAGGGGGGACCTCCAGCTGTTTTCCCCTCTAAAAGCTGCTTTAGAGGACCTCAGCACCCCCCCAGTGCTGCACGACAACACCCACCATCATCCCAGAGTCATGAGACACGGAGTCCCGTGTCACAGGGACAATTTGTGTGTATGTGTGTGTGTGCGGTTTTCATTGTGGGAGTTGTTGACGGAGGTAGCGGTTCCCAAACTTTTTCGTGGCTCCTTTGACTCCCTGGCCACTGGCCGTGGCTCCCCCCCCCAACACGATACTTTGGGGGAGGGAAGGGAGAAAGCAAGAGGGCAAAGCCCAGCCCGAGGAGTCCGTCCGTGGACAGACTTCTAGGGATTCCGTGGCACCCCCCGGCTGGGTTTGGTGGCACGCCGTTTGGAAACCACGTAGGCATTCGAATGCTCAGAATCCGGTCTAAATGCTATGGTTTAAAACACAAACACAAACACACACCCCACTGGAAGGAACACGGGAAGGGGGAGGGAATTAAAATCATTAAAATTAAATTAAAATTAAAATTAAAATTAAAATCCCAAACACATCACGACAGAGCGTGCGATCTGCAGGACGCGAGGAGGAGGAGGAGACAGAGCGAGAGACGGACAGAGAGAGACATCCAGAGGAGAACTTACCCCACGTTTTAGGCTCCGGAAGCAGTGGATTTTGGGTTTGGAGGTCATGAACTCGTTGAAGCGATGGGAGAGGGGCTCCTTTTGCTGCTTAGGAGACTGGGGGCCGTTGGGAACAGCAGAGGGTGAGGCGGAAGAAGGGGGCGGAGGAGGGGGCTGATGGGGGGATGTTAAAAGGGACATAAGCTACGTATAAGAGATGGAGAAGTGGTAGAATTTAAAAAAAGAAAGAAAGGAAAAAACGATAATCAAAAGGTTAAAAAAACAAAACAAAACCCAGGAGAAAAAGCATATGAAATTAAAAAAATGAACCCATACAACACACCAAAAAACAGGAGCAGCATTTGAAAGCAACCGTTGGAAACCAATTCGGAGCAAATCATCAGAGCCATGGGTTTTTTTGAAAATGAACCAAAGGAAAAAAGGAAGGAAGGAAGGAAGGAAGGAAGAGAAAGGAGGGAAGGAAGGAAGGAAAGAAAGAAAGGAAGGAAGGAAGGAAGAGAGAGAGAGAGAAAGAAAGAAAGAAAGACAGAAAGAAAGAAAGAAAGAAAGAAAGAAAAAGAAAGAAAGAAAGAAAGAAAGAAAGAAAGAAAGAAAGAAAGAAAGAAAGAAAGAAAGAAAGAAAGAAAGAAAGAACAAGAAAGGTCAAGGGTCGGGAAGGTATATTTGGTTTGTTTCTTTAATTAAAAAAAGATTTGTGTTAAAAAAGGGGTGATTGCAAATGAGAAGCTTTAGTAAACGGCACAATGCAAAAAAAAACAATCATGCATGCATGCATACATACATGCATTCAATTTTGTTTTATGTATGGCTTGATGCTGTAACAATGAAGTATGTATGTATGTATGCATGTATGTATGCATGCATGCATGCATGCATGTAACCCCAGTCATGCGGTATTTTCTTTGACACGATGCCTCTTGCCGCATGCAAAGCCGAGAGGATGAAGCGGAAGGGGGAACGGCCTCTTGCGGACAAAGCTAGCCAAAGCTCATCTTGGGGGGGGGGGAGCCTCATGGCAGATGGGCTTCAACTGCAGCACTGCAGTCGAGACTCCCGCTCAGGGCCTAAGTTCGATGCCGGCGGGCTCAGGGAGCCGGCTCGAGGCTCGCTCAGCCTTCCGTCCTTTGGAGGCTGATCAAATGAGGGCCCAGCTCACGGGAAGGGGGTTCTGGAGGCGACTGATTTATAAACTGCCCAGAGAGGGCTTTAAGCGCTATGGGGTGATACATAAGCAGGGCCCCCCCTCGGCACCAGACATAGCCCTCAGGGCCAAAATAGGTGACACTCCCCCCCTCCCATGAGCAAAATCTTCAGTCCCTATTCACGGATCGCTCGTGGTCGCATCTGCTCAGCCTCGGCTCACCCGGCAGGGTCGCTGTGAAAGTGGAACGATATAACAACCCCCCCAATCAATGCAAAGATCTTGTAGGATGATTGACTGGGAGGCCCTGATGAGAAAACGGCAAACGCGCTTCTTCGCATGGATGAAAAGAAATATTGGCCAGAGGTTGGGAGTTTGAATCCCCCACGGGGGGCCTCCTGGACAGGGGCTGGACTAGATGACCCACAAGGTCCCTTCCAGCTCTGCCGCTCTAAGAGGATAAGGAGGATGGGAAACATCCAAATTAGGTTTCGGTAATTTAGCTGGCTGGAGAGCTGAGGGGTTTAGGGAGCAGACTGCCTCTTTAGACAGGGGTTGGACTTGATGATCTAGAGGGTCCCCTTTTTCCAGCTCTGCCGTTCTAAGGTTATTATTATATTCCTATAAATGTTAATAAGGAAAACCTTCCCTAGTACTGATATGCAAAAACCTTCTCTAGTACTAATTTTATTTACTATTTTAAATAGAATACTTGTTTAACACTTTTAAAAGATCTGTATTATTTATTATTTTTCGCTTTTAAATATTGCCTTTTTAATGATGCACGCCGCCTGGGGTCCTTTTCAAAGGCGTGGGTAAAAACTTTGTAAATAAATACTTACTAAATGAGTAAATAAGTCAGGAAAAGCTCAACCCTCGTGGGGACTTCGTAGGAGAACAGGAAGTTTTTGTTCCCCGAATCGGAGATATTACTTTTTTGGAGTAGCGTTCTCAAAACCTCTCCCTTGGCAGAAATTCTGTGAACGAGTGGGTTTCCCGTGCTCGGGGGGGAGGGGAACGTAACCCAACCCACCCTAAAACTGAATAGAAAGGGGAGGAAGATGAGAAATCTAACCAGCAGAAGGTTTCTGTTATTTCTTTGAGAAATAATCCAAAACATTTGCTACCCAGCATATAAGCAATAAACAGGGAGATCTACACTGGCACCACGTTGTCTAGCAAAGAGCTCCCAACAAATACCCCCTCCTAGTCACCTGTCAAAAGGAGAAGGATCACCCTAGGTGAACAGACTGGGAAAATGTTGGGAAATGTGGAAATTGTTGTTCCTCTCCCCCTGTCACATTCCCCTGCTGTTTCATGAGCCACGAGGGTGTAACAGACTCTTAAGGAGAGCTAACACAAATCACTGTGGACTAGGAGCTTGGTTTGACTTTTAATTCTTTTTTGGCCAGACTCAGGAAGCAACATGACACCACCCTAATTAATGCCAGCGGAGCCCATGTTTGGAAGAAGGCTGTGATCATTCAAGTTTTAAACAGAGAGATGGGCACTGCATCTTATTAATTTTGTTGTAAAATAAATAAGATCCAAGCGGTGCCTCTGTATTGAAAAACAGAGGAAATCAGCATTAGAGGACGGATGAACGCGGGTGCGTTGTTAATTAGCTGGAAAGGGGTTGAACTATGTGAGCAAAAAGCAGCCAGCAATCATCAAACAATGAATGCAGAGAACAGCTGTTTAGAACAAGGAACGTATTTTGGAAAAAAAAATAACACACACACAAAAAACATTGATAAAAGGGATGAGAAACCATCAAGGAAATGGGAAAAAAACACCATGGCAGAGACATGACAACTCAAACAAAAGAAGCCCAAAACAGATTTAAACTGATGACAAAACAAAATCTTAACACAATATTAAGAAGTACACTGAAATAATAATAAAACAGATTTTTAAATCATAAAGCAGAAGTCAGCCATTAAGAAAAAAACTTATTACAATAAAATTACAAGAGGACACCAGCTATTAGTTCTTAGAAACTAATTTCTATCAAAAAGAAAGAGAGAGAGAAGAAAAAGAAGAAGAAAAATAAAATAGACTTCACTGCTGGGATTACCAAATAACTCACAAGTACCTAAACTGCTTAAAGTACGGACAGCACACCAAAATTCCGAAAAGCCGATACCTTATTTTTCTTGATGAAAGGCCATAATTTGCCCTTCGACTTCCCGCTGAACCGGGATTCCGACTTCCCGTCTTTGGAGTTCGAAAGGCTGGATTCAGACACGGTGCGCTTGATCGGCTGGGTGAAATCCTCGAAATCCACATCGCCCGGAGGCTCGAACCCGGACTTGAAGGCTTCTATGACCAACTGCGAATCCTGAAACCAGACCAGTTTTCGGGATGGGTGAAAATGACCGTATTTTTTCTGTGTATAAGACTATACTTTTGTCTAAAATCTTTAAACTAAAAATTGAGGGTCACCTTATACACGGAAGTAAGTTGAGGAGAGAAAAAAACAAGTGGAGAGGAAAGCAGGGATCAAAGCGATCCTGCAGCACTTTGATCCCTTTCCCCCCACCCTTGCTAAACCCCACTTAGATTTCTTAATTTTGGATTAGAAAAGTGGGGGGTGTCTTATGCATGGGGGCGTCTTCTACATAGAAAAATACGGTATGTCATTCTAGCTCATCAATCAACCCCAAAGTTCCAGTTCCTGGTTCTATGACCTATAAAGCCCTTTTAAATAAAGAACTTTTAGGGCAGCGGGGACCCAGAAACAGGTCAAAATATGATTTACCGTATTTTTCGCTCCATAAGACGCACCTTTCCATAACACGCACCAATTTTTTAGGAGAAGAAAACAGGAAAATATAATCTGTTTTCTTCGCTCCATAAGACGCACAGACTTTCCACCCCCGTTTTGTGGGGAAAAAAGTGCGTCTTATGGTGCGAAAAATACAGTAATTTTTTACGAGAGGGCAGGTGTAGTTATAGAACAAAAACCGTCCCAATCAATCTGACAAAAACATGAATGGGCCCAAGTAGTATATACACCTCGTGAGTATACACACAAATACATCAATATTAGAAAAGGAGGGAAAATAAATTCATTGAATGGTCCATGTGATCAGGCCTTTAGTGGTGTGGGGAGGGGTGTGTGAGCCTTTGGATCTCGTATCACATCACAACTATTTTTACTGTGATGTAGAAAGATTTGAGGCTACAGTTAGAAAGGGAGAGAGGAAGTAAGGAAGTCGTCTAAACTGTGCAAATCAACACGTCAAAATATTATCGCATCCTGTGCTCCATGTGTTCTTAACCCTTTAACTTTCCTTTTTTATAAAATCCCATCTCCGTTCATCCATCATCACGTCCTTTTTCCTACCCGCTACAATAGAACTATAAATAATCGTGCCCCCCACCTTGTGTGTGGCTGAAAGAGATAAATGTCAAAACAGGAAGTCAAGAATCCAGAACAAATTAATTTCCACCCTCCAACAGCATATAGAGGAGAGATCCCCCACACAGGTTCGCTCGGCAACCGTTTACAGCCGGCCCCACGAGGATAACCTTCATTTCAGTGAAGATGTTACAAGGGAATGAGGCTGGGATGAGGTTGCGGGGGGGAATGTGATTTTGTTAAGCATAAATATCTAGAGGCAAGCGGTCAAATTGAATTCAGCTTAAAAAGACACACGTGTGTCACGGCAAACAGGCTGGATTTAAAATGCTCTGCTTTCTGGAAGACCATTCTGGATATTTTAGCTCCAGACCTTGAAATATATATATAAAAAATCAGAAAACAGTGTTTCTGACCACACACAGAGTGCCTTTCCCCTCTCTCATGAATTTGGCTTGAAATGAGATCGTTCCAGTGCATAGACTTTTAAAAAGTTACGACGGCAGCCCACCCCACCCCCCCTGAATTTGAGAAGTGACGAAGGATAATTACAATTTTCAGAACACGGAAAGTGAGAAGACGTGATTATATTCCGCTCGCTTGGAAACCGAGAAAAGGGGGGGGTAGGAGACAGAAAGGAAGAACTGTGTAGGTCGGAAAGAAAGATGATGATTATCCCCTGTTTCCACAAAGCACAGCAGAAAAACTTGATAACCTTCCATTAAATCCCTATAGTATGACAGTGAAGCTATTAAAAGTGTAGGAATTAAGAAGGGAGGGAAAGATGAAGGAACGGCTGAAAAAAACGGGGTTTCTGGCTGTTTTCCTGAAAGGCAAGACAGGGCTTCGGTTTATTTATTGATATAAAATATTTCCCTCTCCCCCTGCTTTTCTCCTTAAAAAGGACCTAAGGCAGCTTACACCATTCAAAGACAATACTGAAACGTTGTCGGTAGCCACCAACTCACTTTCTTCTGATCGATGGCTTCGGCCGCTTTCGTGACAAAGACAATATTGAAACGTTGTCGGTAGCCACCAACTCACTTTCTTCTGATCAATGGCTTCGGCCGCTTTCGTGATCTCGTCCAGACATTTCCCGATGATGGGGATGACCTGCCGGTCGACCTCGGCGAAGGTTTTCATGCATTCACCTATTCGGATGATCCGGCGCTCTTCCATTTCTTGTATTTTCTGCAAGTACGAGAACCAGCATTAATTCGGTGCTTAAAGCGTTCCATATACAGTCGGACCCCTGTATCTGCGCAGGGATCCATATCCACGGATTCACTGATCGACAGTTTGAAAATATTAAAAGGAAAAACCTAGAAATATACCTTATTTTTCCGTGTATAAGGCTATACTTTTGTCTAAAATCTTTAAAAATTGAGGGTCGTCTTATACACGGAAGTAAGCTGAGAGGAGTGGTAAACAAGTGGAGTGGAAAGCAGGGATCGAAGCGATCCTGCAGTGCTTTGATCCCTTTCCCCCTGCACTCGCTAATCGTCAGATTTCTTAATTTTGGATTAGAAAATTGGAAGGCGTCTTATACATGGGGGCGTCTTATACACGGAAAAATATGATATATTTTTAAACGTGAAATTACCAAAGCTGGTCACTAGAGGGAACCAAAGACCATGTTATGGATAGCATTTGCTCTTATAATAGCGTTGGCTATAATCCATGTTTTTCAGCATCTGCGGGGGAATAGGGTCAAACCATTACTCTTTTGGATCAAGAAGCCCTTCAGTTACACAAGTTTCACATCACCATCATCATCATCATCATCAGTAGAGCTGCAAGGGACGCTACGGATCATTGACTCCACCCCTTGTTAAGGAGGCCCAACCGGGGGGGGGATCAAACTCCCAACCTCTGGCTCCAGAGAGATCTTTGAAGCAATGAGTTACAAGCATGTAAAGAAGTGACATTTCAAATTAATTTACTGAGCGGTAATGGCAGTGGTCTCTGACGTAACACTTTGCAGTTCCTTTCCATTTTAGATGCATTTTTAACAGGGACTTCCCACCCACCCCCTACCTCCTAAATTCACATCTTCTGGAGATGGCACGTACAATACAGTTAAGTGCTTGACACAAAACAGCCCCTCTTATCATCAGCCAAGGTTCAGACTCGAAGACTCAGGCAGCTGGCAAAGCTCAAACATGACCGATGCCAAATTTAAAAGCACCAAAGGGGTCAGCTGTTGATGCTGTGTTCTGTAGATACCAGCCTGCCCCATCGCCAGGCGAGTGTTTTCCCCTTCCACAGCTGTCGAAGGGCGGTGACAGAAGGAAAACACAGTGAGATCACCCCACAATGTCCTCCCAGCTTTCTGAAACAGGGACAAACCCTCTCCGTGAACCAGTCCCCCCCCCTTCTCGCTGGGGCTGATTCCAGAGGCGTGCCGAGTAATGGATGAGTTTTCTGGAGACGTCAACGTGAGCGGAAGGCGATAGTCAAGAAAAGTCGCTTTACGCTGTGGCTTCCTAGCCTGGAGCGTCGAGAGCCAAATTCTGGCTGAGCATCAGGAAAAAAAACTCCCTAACTGTTAGAGCGGTATGACGACAGAGCCAAAACGTTGACACTCCATCGAATACTTTGGACGCGGTACGAAACAGGCAGAGAAAAAGTCAACCTGCAGGAGCAACCCGATTCATTTTCCAAATCCGGGGTTCAGCCCAATTTTTGATAATATCGGCTTTCTTATTCTCTCGTTCCCTCCCGCCAACCAGGACCAGAAAAGCGCCCCCCCCCTTACCTGGAAGATGTTGGGTATGTGCGTATGGTAATGTTCGTGCTGCTCGTTGTTGAATTTCTGTAACGTGGACGAATATTCTGCTTTGCTGTCTTCGGCCATCTGGTGACGGAGCTGAGCTTGCTGACGGGCCTGGGGAGGAGGCGGAAAGGATGGAAGGAAAGGTGAGAAATTCTCAGAGGAAAAAGTACATTGGGGGCAGATACCGCGCCAAATCATGGGTGCCATGTTTGAGCCTGTTTGGAGGGGGGGATCCTCCAAAGCCAGAGTCTGTGCATCTTCCTTAAAACATGCAAAGCAGTAAAATTCATCATATCTGCCAATTTCACTTATGGGCATCCTGAAAAAAAAGAAGCCAATAAAACCCAGAAATATATATTCCCAAGGTGTATTAACAGGACCGAACACTAGATGGAACCAGAGACTGTGCTATATACAGGTGGGTTAGGATGACTGCTTTAATTTGGTATGTCATACGTCCGTCCATCCGTCCGTCCGTCCGTCCATCCATCTACAGGTGGGTTAGGATGATTGCTTTAATTTGGTACGTCATATGTCCATCCATCCGTCCGTCTGTCCGTCCATCCATCCATCCATCACCAGTTCCTTCTACCTATCACTGGCTCCTTCCTTCCTTCCTTCTACCCATCATCAGCTCCTGCCTTCCTTCCTTCCTTCTACCCATCATCAGCTCCTGCCTTCCTTCCTTCCTTCTACCCATCATCAGCTCCTGCCTTCCTTCCTTCCTTCTACCCATCATCAGCTCCTGCCTTCCTTCCTTCCTTCTACCCATCATCAGCTCCTGCCTTCCTTCCTTCCTTCTACCCATCATCAGCTCCTGCCTTCCTTCCTTCCTTCTACCCATCATCAGCTCCTGCCTTCCTTCCTTCCTTCTACCCATCATCAGCTCCTGCCTTCCTTCCTTCCTTCTACCCATCATCAGCTCCTGCCTTCCTTCCTTCCTTCTACCCATCATCAGCTCCTGCCTTCCTTCCTTCCTTCTACCCATCATCAGCTCCTGCCTTCCTTCCTTCCTTCTACCCATCATCAGCTCCTGCCTTCCTTCCTTCCTTCTACCCATCATCAGCTCCTGCCTTCCTTCCTTCCTTCTACCCATCATCAGCTCCTGCCTTCCTTCCTTCCTTCTACCCATCATCAGCTCCTGCCTTCCTTCCTTCCTTCCATCCATCCATCGACTAACTCATCCATCCATCCATCCATCCGACCTTGATACTTTTCCGCATCTGGAATCACAGAAGCATTTAACCCGCGAAAGAGATACTGCAGCTTCGTCCACCTCTAAGAAAGGTTACTTGGAAGCTGGCCAGAGGGAGAGCAAAGCATCGCCCAGAGACACAGCAGGACAACTCCCGAGGAAGCGCATCCCGCCCAGAGCCTTTCCTTTCATTTCTTGGATTTCTTGACACTTGAGACTCACGGCCCGAGAGAATCTCCTCCCGCCTTCTGAACGTTTGATGAACCCTTTCTTTTCTTTTATCCCTGCGAAGGAGGAGGAGATGATCAGGGAAGGCTTCTTCTGAAAAGGATGTTGAGGGTGCCCTACCCAAATTCCGGGAACAGCAAGAGGAGGTCAATTTGGCGCATTCTTCTTCTTTAGAAACGCCCCCCCCCCCGAAAGGTGGTTCTCGGAGGCAAGGCGATATATTTTTTTTTTCAAAAAGGACCTTGTTGATCTACCGAAGCGGGAGTCGTTCAAAGACTTCTTCCCAGCAGCGGGTCCAGAAATTGGATTTCCAGTTCAATGATAGCCATGCTTTTTTTTTTATTTTATTTTTTGTCTTCCCACTCAACCTCGCACGGCATTCTTGTCGCTTTGCCAAGAGGCCGGCTGGCACAAAATGACAGTTCCTCCTCCGAACAGATAAACAAGGAGGGGAGACAAAGAGAGAGAGAGATAACATAAGGATGCTTCAAAAACAACAACAGGTGATTTAAAAAACCCAAGCAGGGCGAAAAGGAAGGGCTTCGAATCCCTAAAAGGTTGTCCTACAGACGAGAGACGGGCTCGGTTCTCGATCGTCGGGCAGGACACGTCGTCATGGGCTCAAGCGACGGGAGGCCAGATTTAGGCTGAAGCATCAAGAAAAAAACTTCCTAACTGTTAGAGCAGTACGACGACGGGACCCACGACCTCGGGAGGTGGTGAGCGCTCCAGCGCTGGAGGCCTTCGAGAGAAAATAGGACAACTATATCTCAGATCTGCTTTGGTTTGGATTCCTGCCTTGAGCGGGCGGGGGGGTCAGACTGGATGGCCTCTATGGGTCCCTTTCCAACTCCATCGTGCTACGATTCTGTATTTCAGCCAGATGTCTCTTAAGGTGCTTCCAAGGTGAGGATTTTTATTCCATCAATGGCCTTGACCAACCGTCCCCCCACCTCAAAAGACTGTGGCTTGCATTAGGATTCAGACTTTCTACCTGCTTCTCCAGACCTCGATGCCCTGTTGTCCCCCAAAGGGGTTAGTTCCAGAAAATCAGCCCCCCTGGGAACATGGGGGAGAAGCAGCACTAGAGTCTCAGCCTTCAATAAAAGATGCCGGGAGAGACCAAACTAGGCAGGGACCCGTGGAAGTTTTTCTGGGGGGGGGACTCCTCAGACCCCTATATAGAAGGTGTGGGCTGGCACCAAAAAAATGCACCGTTTTTCTCCAACATCAACCTACCCTCTCAAGGCGACGCCTTCCTGTTTGATGCAAGAGGACAAGGGGGCTCCTCAGACCCCTATATAGGAGGTGTGGGCTGGCACCAAAAAATGCACTGTTTTTCTCCAACATCATCCTACCCTCTCAAGGTGACGCCTTCCTGTTTGATGCAAGAGGACAAACCGGGAGATGCTTGCTATGCCTCGGCTAGAATCAGTCTATACCATGTCCTCTGTGTTGTTGTTGTTGTTGTTTTTCCCCCATTGTGCTTGTGAGATCTTTGGACTGGAATCCCAAGAAAACAGCTAACCTGCAATGGGTTGGGTTTTAAAATTTTACTTTATTTGTTTGCGTTATGGATAAGCCACCTTTCTCCCAATTACGGAGAACAAGATGCGCGCAAGACAGGAAAGTGTGGCGTTCATCGCCCAGAAGGACCACCAAGCCAGGAGAGATACGTAGCGCGGATTCGAAGCCGCCTTTGATCCGGAAGACGAGAAAGCAAAGAGAGGATCACATCGCACCAATTAGAGGGGGGGAAGCCTAACGAGGTGTGGCAGCTTGAAAGCTTGTGGCCGACGACCAAGTTTGGTACCCGAATGAGCAAACGAGAAGATCCCGCGGGAGGCAGACGGTGCGGGTGGCCGGGGGGAAAAAACACGAGACGGTCCTTCATCCGCAAAGGACAGGGACAATGTTATCTCATGCTTGAAGTACGGCCCCAAATCCTGCCAGATTATCTCTCTGCATTAATGAGCAACGGAGGAATGTTGGGGCAGTTCAGTAGCACTAACGAGGCTCTTAATGAAGAGGGGAGAAAAAGGCTGCCTCCCGGCTGAAGATCTGAGATTATGAAGACACAATGAGATGTGTCATCTCCGTTCCATAAAAAAGAGTGACTCGCGTCTTCGGATAGACGGCATTCATGATATTTTATCCCACCCTCCTTCAAGGAGGTATGGAGGTTTCTCTGCACATCTCGGGGAGGCCCCCCTGGAGAAGTAAGACGGGGAGGGGGCCGGCGCGAGGATGGCTAAATGAATTCCAGGATAATGTCAGGGAGAGAGAGAGAGAGACAGAGGTTTCCCAAAAAGGATATCAAACTCCGGAGACGAGCGGTGGAGGAGAGGAGGAAGAAAAACAGAGCCAAAATATTCCTGAGCGTGCAGGAGGGAGAGAGAGGGAGGAAGGAGAGGGTCGTGGTGTTTTTTTCCCCAAAAATGGTCAAGGAATTGAAACGAAACGAAACCAGAAAAAGTTCAGGCTGCCCACGGGGAGAACCAAAACAGACTTCACTGCTCCGGTTAAGAGCAGCTGCTCAATAATCCACGTTTCCCCGCTGCGTTTATGGGGCACAAAGGTAGTTGTCGGTCAGCTTTACAGGGGGGGGGGACTGAAGGCACAGGCGGGAGGAACCTCATGTCTAAGAAGGGCACCCTATAGATTTCTTAGCCTTAAATCAGTTCCCAGACGGGATGGAGACGACCTGCCTTAGCCTTTATGGCTTGCGTTTGGATTCCAGGCGAGAATTTGCGCAGTTCTTCCAGGAGAAAAACCAGAGGCAGCCCCTCCCAATGAGCCAAATGTTAAGTCAAATGGGATCGGAAATCATGTGAGCCAAAAAAAAAAAAAGACAATGGGAACCACAGAACCATGGAGTGGGAAGGGGCCCTCAAAGGCCATCTAGTCCAACCCCCTGCTCAAGGCAGGGATCCCAGTCAAAGCAGGTCGGACAGACGGTGGTCCCATTGTTCTCTCGATGGCCTCCAGCGTTGGAGCGCTCACCCCCTCCCGAGGTCATGAGTTCCGTTGTCGTACTGCTCTAACAGTTAAGATGTTTTTCCTAAAACTCTGCCGAAATTTGGCTCTCAACGCTCCGGGCTAGGAAGCTGCAATGGATATAGCAACCCTTCTTGAGCATCTCCTGCTTTCCACTCCTAGCGATGACCAGGGCAACTCTGCATCAAGAGGCACCTGGGGATAGACGGTGGTCCAACTTACGCCACCACCTCCCCTTGAGGTCATGACGTCCGTTATCGTACTGCTCTAACAGTTAGGAAGTTTTTTCTTGACAGCTGAAATCCGGCTGGGATCACACAAGTAGGTTTTAAAGGCTGTTCTCTGGGAAGTTAGGACGTGCCATTTGGATTTTCTGAAATCCGGAGTCCAGAATTCTTCAAGAATTATATCAGGCAGAATCCTGGGCATTCCCATCCATACATAAGCCTCGTTATGCGTGTGGCACAGATCCGCACGCATCTTTTCCTGAATCGCATGGACCCGTTCAGGAAATGAAGGAACCGAGCTTATAATTTCTAGAAGAGAAAGCCAGCCCTGTTTAATTCATTCTCCGCTGATGGGTCACAAGACGGTGAATCACAGTTTCTAATTAAACCCCAAACGAGCGATCCTTCGCACTCCGAGTCAAGGCGTGCGACGGGCGCTGTTCACGTTCACTCCTCGGGAAAAGGGGGTCAAATGGAAAAGAAAGAAGTCCAAAGGAAGCTCCCCAGAAATGGGGCCAACGGGGTCGGATCCATCATGTCGCAAGTAGGTCATGGAGCTGGCTGGGGAATAAAGGCAGGGAACCCGGGAGATGCCAAGGTGGCTGGCTGTCAGAAAGAGAACGAGGCAGCCAAGCAAATTAAAAACCAGGAGCCTGGCGATACCGAATTCAGGGCGATGGAAGGAAAAAGAGAAAGGGGGGGGGAATAACCAATTTGTTACACAACGTTTTTGGAGGCTGTGCAGTTTTCTGAATTGTGGATAAGCTATCCTTTTTCCCTTCTGCTATTAAAAAAAGAGAGAGAAAGAAAGAGAGAGGACAGGATCACAGTCCCTCCAGGAAACAATGTCCTCTTTGCCACTTGGGAATTTACATAAGAACGAACATCACACATCACATGCCGCCGGCCAAAGGGAGAAAGGGAGGCGCAGATTTTGTACAAACGCTATTCTCTTTGTGCAAACCTTGTCAGATTCACCAGCTCTCAGTGAGAGACAGAGCGCTTACTGTTAAGTCGGGTCTCCGAAATTTGTATGAATCGGCTCTCGTAAAAATTTTTTTAAAAAAAACACACACACAACACTATTCTCTTCTTGTGGGAAAAAAACCCAAAAAAGCAAGCACAGGTGCACCCGAACACCAAGTCAGCAAACGCATAACCACTGACTGATGGGCCAAAAGATGCGAGCAACCCATCCAAAGCTTCTAATCCATCAAAGTCCACTAAACGATTTAGCCAGAAGCCCTTGTCATGTTGTACCGTTCGCGTAATTCGCCCTGAAGAATCTATTTCTTTTACTTGTGTGATTTTGCTCCATGTTTGTAAAAAAAACAAGAGAGACAGAGACTTAGTTTCGCTCCTCTTGTTCATGATCTTGCTTCCTATGTGGGGCCAAAGGACTAACAATGTGTTTCTTCATTCTTGTGTGTGGGTAAGGATTTAGATCCTTAAAGTTGTATGCTTTTTTTCACCCGAAACTGCACCAGACAGAGAAGTCTGCTCTTACATCACGTTGAAAAAGAGAGAGACTCATAAATGGGTCCAGCTAAATGAATGCAATCGTACCTCGTCTGGGATCTGCTTTGCCAGCACTTATTTCTGACCGAGGAGGAGAACGTGATCCTGACAAAGGGCAACGGGGCTGTCTTGCTGCTATTTTTAGCCAGCTGTGTCGGAAACCCAGAAACCCCCCCCCAATCTCCCTCCAAGCTTCTGAAGACCTGCGGCCGCAGGAATAATGCAACTATAACCAACTTGAGTCTCCCAAAATCCCACTCCTTTTTTTTTTAATCACAACTTCCTAAACTAACTTGCGCTGCTCCAGAATAGGAGATATTTAAGTATGTCCAGTGATACATAACTGGGAAGGATGACCTCTGAAATTGGTAACAGAGAACGTTGTGCCTGGCTTGGTCTTTCCTTCTCCCTCCCCAACCCCTCTACCTTTTGTGTCATGAATTTCAAAGTCTATGCCTTGTATCTCGTTTCTGATATTTGTAAGCTACGGCATGAACCTTTCTTAGGGGAAATCAGGGTAAGGACATTAAGAGATACATATCAGTGAAATGATCCTGCATCCCCATGATGTCAATTGTCAACGAAGGTAAAAAAAAAACTTAAAATATGCACCCATGTTTTTTTCCTCTTTTTTTACCTTTTCAACATCTGCTTTTGTTACGTTGATGTCCGCGTCCATCTTTTCGAAATACTGCTGCGCTCGGTCGGCTTCTTTGCAATCCCGTTCAAATCTTCGTTTACTCTGGAAGAGGAAGCAACGAGATTCAGGTTTGGACAGCAACAAACCCATACATACACACTCTTAAATCCTCTGAATAATTGGATTATTTTTCATTGGTTTGTTCCATTTCCCTAATTTTGGGTGACCTGCCTTTTTAGGGTTGACTTGTTCTGTTCCCCCATCCTGTATCCTATTTGGGATTCAACTGAACACTTGGTTCAGCTGAGAAACGAATCGTCGCGAATCACCAAACCGGCAGTTCGTGCCCATCTCTAGAAGGGATCTTATAGATCATCTAGTCCAGCCCTGCCAAAATCTACATCCCACGGAAATGCTATGACTCCGTGGCTGCAGTAACCACTGGCTTCTTGTCCCTCTATCTTTTTGGGTGACTCTGCGGCAAATATTACACAGCCCACAAACATGAAAGTGGCCGACACTCACAGATTCGAGCTGTTTCCAGCAGGTCTCAATGTGCTGCTGTGCTTTCCGGCCGTCGTGAAAGTGCTGCGAGAAAGCAAGAAGGAAAGCATCGTTAGCAAAGGACAGCAAAGCAAGAGGGTGATCTGTGCGCATTGGTTTATATGTCCATTTGTTTGTTTGCCAGAATGATAATAATAACTATGTGCCATTAAGTCCATTCTGAATTGGAATCACAGAATCATAGAATCGGAAGGGGGCCTCTCAAAGGTCATCCAGTCCAACCCCCTTGCACGAGGCAGGAATCCCAATCAAAGCAGATTGGGCGGAAGGTGGTCCAGCCAGTCAAAGCAGATTGGGCGGAAGGTGGTCCAGTTCTCTCTTGAAGGCCTCCATCATTGGAGCGCTCACATTGGAGTGCTCACCAGCTCCCAAAATCATGATCCATTGTCAGACTGCTCTAACAGTTGAGATGTTTTTCCCCCTGAGAATCAGCCTTGTTGCCCTCCTCTGAACTTGCTCCAATTTGTCGGCAATGTGGTGTCCAGAACTGTACACAGAACTCTAGATGAGGCCTCACCAGCGCCAAATAGAGGGGAACTAGTACCACGCAGCATTTCGAGCCTAGACTTCTGCTAATCCTAAAATCGCATTGGCCTTTTTTGCAGCCACATTGCCCTGTGGGCTCATATTCGGCTTACGAGCTACAAACATTCCAAGATCCTTCTCACATGCAGTGTTACTGAGCCAAGCATCCCCAACCTTGCAACTGTGTGTTTGGGTGTCCGACCCCACCCCCCAAGTGTGGAACTCTGCACTTACCCCTGTTAAATTCCCTTCTGTGGTTTCCAACCCCACTGCTCAAGATTATCAAGACCTTTCTGCTCCTGGTCTTCAATGTCGTGTCATCTGCAAATCTAATACAGTGGTGCCCCGCATAGCGACGTTAATCCGTTCCAGGATTAACGTCGCTATGAGGAAACATCGCTAAACGGAACGGAAAACGGCATAGGAACGCATTAAACTTAGTTTAATGCGTTCCTATGGCTCCCAAACTTACCATTCAGCGAAGTTCCTCCATAGTGCCGCCATTTTCGCTCCCTCGGTAAGCGAGGGCACGGCGCGAAAACACTTGCGGCGGCCATTTTGGGCACGCGGCGGCCATTTTGGAATCGCCAATCAGCTGCTGGGGAAACATCGCAATGCGAAACGCTTACCGATCATCGCAGTGTGATGTTTTACCCATTAAAACATCGCAATGCGATCGCACTAGCAATCTCAAAAAAGAGATCGCTATGCTGATTTGTCGTTAAACGGTGCGCTCATTAAGCGAGGCACCACTGTAAGTATTCCCTGCACTCCCACACCCAAGTCATTAAGAAAAATGTCGAAGAGCACTGGGACAAGGACTGAGTCCTGGGGTACCCCCACTTGTGACCTCCTCCCGGTTTTATAAGCACATCCTAAAGCCACCCAGGGTCGGCTTCCATTCCCGCAAAGATGACTCGGGAATAAAATATTTTTAAAAGACGCAGGTGGGTCTTGATTTGCTTAATGGAAATTGCTTCTCCTGGAAACGTTCATTCATTAATTCATCCATTCAGTATCTAGGTGTATAAAATTGGCCTCGGACGGCCAACACGCCATCCACTGGCCGTACAAAATTCGCACCCCAGAAAGAAACTCTCGCACTGGGCCGTAGTCCCGCTGGAATCGCTCTGTACCTAGCAGACACATTAAATCAAGGGCATGCTGAGCCATAAAAGGCAATGCAGCTAGCTTGCTGGCACAGCTGCAGCCCTGAAATCACCATCATCTTCCGTTAAATCTGATGACACCCCTACCCCCCTGATCCTTCGTCCTGAAACATAATGAATCTCTCTTCCCCCCCTTTCCTTCTCAAGATCCAACTTCATTGCAATGTGACGCTTTCAGAGACGCCGTTCATTCTGCATATTAATTTCCTCCCCTTTGCTGGCAGTCACGCAGACCTGTGGATTTTTACACCGCTGGCTAAGAGGGAGAGGGAGGGCTTAACGTGGCTGCTGCAACCTATAATGGATCGCAACGTAATTCTCTCTCTCTCCCTTTAAGGCTTATGGTCTCTGGAGGTTAGAGATTTTTCTTTCTGCATAGCGAAGGATCAGGGCTGGAAGAAAAGTGACATTAAAAAATGCATTGCCCCAGAGCATGTGCAGAAAATCAGACAGCTCCGTCGTTTAGGTCTCTGGCTTTGGAACCAGAAGTTGGGAGTTTGATTCCCCCCATGGGGCTTCTTCGACAGGGGCTGGACTGGATGACCTTATAGGGTCTCTTCCACCTCCGTAGTTCTAAGATGATGATGATATGGATGGGCGCCCCCATGCTACTGCCGACTTCCCTTCTTCCATCAATCTTTGCCCAAGGCTAAGCATGCAAACATCTGGTTCTGGATAGAGTTTTTCTTCAAACAGTAGCCAAAGGCCACCGGCCAAGAGGAGAACTGGAGAAAACTGGCATAAAAGGATCATACCAAACACGGTCCGTTATGCAATACTCCAGGAATAATAATAAAAAATTTTGTTTTGTTTTGCTTTATTTCCTGGATATGCAACCTTTGAGACAATGAAGAAGGGAAAATGAGATTCTCTCTCACACTCACACACACACACACGGAGAGAGAGGGAACACAATCCAGCTTCATATTTTCCGTAGCTGGAAAAGCTATCCAGTCAACAAAAGAGATTTTAATTTAATGTGATCTGTAAATCTCATTTCCCCAGGTTGCAAACCCTGTGCTCTGCACAGGGAAAGAGAATAAGAAATTTATCCCAGTTGAGTCAAACAACATCTCGTCCCGGCCGTTGTGGAAAAGCTCTCATTTTTAAAAACATCAGAACGCCGCCGTGAGATAGTAAAAAGTCAGGATTAGCAGAGAAACGAAACCCAGGAATGGGAATAAGTTTTTTAAACAGTTAAATGATGGGAGTTATTATTATGGCCTCTTGTGTTCAGGAAGAAATAAAAGTTTTTTTTTTCCACTCATGAGGCTTCAAAGCAGACGTGCCCATTAAAGGGGATTGGTTTTCCCCCACATCGCGCATTCCTGCGTCCCATGTGGGAAATCTATTTTATGCACCAGATGCGGAGAGGAAACGGTGTGATCCACAACTTTCTTGCTAAATATTCGGAGAGATTTCGGCGGCTGAGTCCCTGCGAAGTGCTTCGTTTCCGTTTTAAAGGGCTGGGAGGAAATAAACAGGGCGGCTCGTCGCTTGCTCGGGACGGCTTTTTGGAACCTGGATTTTGAAAAGTTCGCAAATCTAACGAAGACTTAGTAGATTCCAACAATGCGTGTTAAGATGTGTTCTTCGCCCGGCGACTTCACCTATTTGGCTTTTCCCTTTACGGCTCCGTTTTTCCAGAATCACGGCACGGATGCTCCCCTTCCGTCCCATCCCACGGGCGATCCCCGGAGTAGGCAGGCCACTCTGGAGGGGCCTTCGGTGAAAAATCCAGCCCCAAACCCCAGCAATTTATAAAAGGAGGTCATCTTGCCAGCGTGAAACACAAGCAACTTTGGTCGTATGCAAAAAAAGAGAGAGAGAAATAGCCAAGGCACACCATGCCATCCCAGCGACAGAGCGCATTCATCAAAAATAATAAGAATAAAAATAAAAATAATAAAAAGGCCTGCATGAGATGCTCTCTGGAGCCGGGCCGGGTGGGGAGAAAGTAGCATAAGGGGTCTGTTTGTCCAGCTCCATCCAACAAGGATCATGTGGAGCATTTCACCCATGAAGGTCGTGACAAAATAGGCCTTATTTGTGCTTTAAGAAACAATCGGCAATTGTCCCCTCCAGCCAGCCCGCTTTGGATTTGCCAGGCGATGGAGAAATAATCTTTGCTGAAGCGGGAATAAATGCTTTGGCTAACTTTTTGAGCGTCTCCCTTGCAAAGCCAAAATAGGCGTGCATTCAGAGAACGGGCGTCCCCTCCTTTTTTAAGGATCTGTGAGGGTCTTTGAGGACAGTCGGCAAGGAGTGGAAGCCTCTTGAGAGCCGAGGAGCACCATCCAGACCTTTGGAAGGTTAAAGCAATGTACCATCAAGACAGTGACCCCGTCTCAAAATGGCCAGGGAAGATCCGGAGAAAGCAGACAAGCTGACACCAGGAATGATCGCGAGTATAAATTTAGTGGGTGGGAACACCGAGCTGACGTACAGAAATAGGAGGTACTGCTAGAAGTGTCATCATCCTAACGACACACACCTCTCTGCGAGGTACGAGTCCCCCTCTATTCGACACTGGGTAAGGCCTCTCCCTGCGTGCAGTTCTGGACGCCGCACTTCAAGAAGGATGATGACAAATCGGACCCAGTTCAGAGGTGGGCAACAAGGATGATGATTAAGGGGCTGGAAACCAAGCCCTGGGAAGCAAGATGGAAAGAAATATAGCCATGTGTCCACGGTTCAAAATTAAGATTCAAAATTCTCTATCCAGAGAAAGAAGAAGAAATAGAAAAACCCAGGCCCGATCCGTCCGCGTCTCCCCTTAATGAACGATCTCATTTGGGAGTTCTATTTTAGGATCAAAGCCCTTCACGGTGCGGCGTGAAGAACGCCCGGAAAATTCTCCGGACCCATCCATGCAGGAGAACCTCCTTCCGAGCCTTCGCTCATCTTTGTAATGGATTACTCAGGCATCGGGCCAGTCAAGAAATAAGCCTTATTCGTGCTTCGTGGCAAAGGGAGGCACGCGTCTGAACCAAGCCAGGATAGGAAGGAAAAGCGCAACAAGAGGAGAGAACACTTTGCTGAAGCACTCGGCCCCTCAAGATTGGGACTCCATGGTCAAAATCCTGCTGCTCAGTGTAGTAAGTCACCACTAGAGTAGGCCCACTGAATCTCTTGGGCAGAGTATGCAGAAAATTAAAACACACACACTTCCAGTATACAGCGGTGAAAAGTCCAGAGACCTATAAAGCAGATTTGTTTATTTACAAGTCCCCTTCACATATACCTCCCCTTGTTGTATAGTTAGTTTAATTAGATTTCCCTCAGTTTACCTTAACTGCCATAACAGTCTCAATAAATTCAGCCAGAGACTCTGCTTTTGAGAAAGAATAAAGAATGTGTCTCTTCTACTTACAAAATCTTCATATCAGAATACAAACCAAAGCATGTTCGTGGGTTACCCGTTATGGTGTCTTAACTGGTTGAGTTCATTAGTTTCTTCGCTAACTGACTGGACACATAAAGACTCAGAACGCTGATCCTGCCACTGCTAAGCTGTCTCTAAACTCTAAGAGACTCTAACACACTATGAATCCTGACTGAACTAAAAAAAAAACAAAAACGGGGGGGAGCAAGAAAAAGGAATCTTAGGTGGAACAAGAAACCACTGGTGACTCTGAGTGATGGACATTTCCTGCAACTCCCTCCTGGCCCAAAAAAAAAGTTAAAAGTGCAATATGCAGGTTGCATAAAATTACCGATTTTCTCTCCTGCTTCAGCTCTTGCACGTAACGGGCTAACTCGGCAGTGATCTGGGAGGTCATGTTCTCCGATATGACCTCGTGCTGACCGGCGTAGTCGTTCATTTCGTTCAAAGTGGCTAAGAACGCGCGACATGACGAATACCTGGAAGAAGGCGAAAAAAGACAATTAGAAACACACACACACGGGCTGCTAAGAAAATGCACAATTACCTTTCTTGACAATAAGGTTCCGTTCACGTCTAATGCTATCACTACCTTCCTTACTTCCTTGGAATGAAGGATATCAGATCAGGACCTCCCGGACTGTTAAGACAAAGATCAATGGCCTATTTGGCTAAAGAATTAATTGCCACAGTTAAAGAGAGAAAGAAAGAGACAGAATACATTTTAGCTGTGATCAGTCATGGGTTGTCTAAAGAAAGGAACCAAATTTGCCCAACTCATTACTAAATTAATGAAATTTAACTGTCCTTACAATTTTTATCTCCATCTAGATTGATAAATGAAAAAGTTTCCCCCCCGCGGCCATGTTCATACATGAGCCATAATTTACTGTTAATCATGATCTGTTGTTTTAAATATGAGTTATGGTTAAATCTATGTTATGATAGACCTAGATAGCTGCAGATAGCAAATCCCATTATTTTCCCTATTTCTGCTGTTTTTAGTCCTCTTTTTTTGCCAGCTCCTGTTTCAACGTGGGGAGCTGGAGAAATAAACTATGAACATGGTTCTGAATTTTGCTGTGACAACAAACCCTAGTTTAAATAAGCAGAGTTCTTAAACTAACCAAAAAAAGAGATAACTTCTAATTATGGCTTGCAGCTGACCAACAAACCATGATTTGTTCACAGACATAGATTTAGACACAATAAACCAGAATTCAACCAACCATAACATAACTCATTGCTATGTGCCTATTCGGCCAATAACTAGGATTTTTTTTCTGTGTGAAACAAAGCAGATAACATCAAAATATAATGCAAGACAGCAACAGCAGAATACTATATAGTCTCGTTTAATTATTTATGTTCTCTCAACCGCACTTGCGAATCAATATTTAGCATGTGTCTAAATACTATTTTTTTAAAACTCTCAATTGTTTTTCGGAACAAAACGTTTACATTCCCGTTTTCTCTCAAACCTACTTGTATTCATCTTCTTCTTTGGAGTTCTTTTTTGGCTGATATTTCTTTGAAAGATTCCTATAAGAAAGCAGAAGTTTGGAAACAGAAGGAAAAGATCAATGAATGCCTTTAAGCAATGTTCTTAGTTACCTACCATATTTTTCGCACCATAAGACGCACTTTTTCCCCACAAAACAGGGTGGTGGAAAGTCTGTGCGTCTTATGGAGCGAAGAAAACAGATTCTATTTTCCTGTTTTCTTCTCCTAAAAAATTGGTGCGTCTTATGGAAAGGTGCGTCTTATGGAGCGAAAAATACGGGTAGTTATTGCAACGACTCACTTCAAATGCAAGCATTTTTACAGTGAGTTATAACAGTAAAAAAAAAACACTATAAACTAAGAAATGATAGTTATTGCAACAACTCACTTCAAATGCAAGCATTTTTACTGTGAGTTATAACCGTAAAAAAAAAAAACACTATAAACTAAGAAATGAACAAGGCCAAATTCCAGTTTGAGATCCATTCATACGGACAACAAATCTCGTACTTCCTCATTCTGCGAGTTCTATCTGATTTACATACATCTTACAGTTTGGCTCGCCTGGGAGCAAAGGCCTAACTGGAAGGTTTTGAGGGCCTAGCTCCCTCTAACTTCCTGTTCTGAAATAAAGCAGCTAGCTAATACCAGGAGAGGAACAGGAAGTTAGAAGGAGCTAGGCCTAGCTGAGCTTCAGTTAGGCCTTTGCTCCCAGGCGAGCCACACTTATATTCCCAAGAAATGCCAAAAAAAAAAACCCCTCATACCAACGCTTGACATGTAGCCCAACATAGATGCTTGCTTGCTTGGTTTGTTTATTGTACTGAACTGCTGTACGTCGCCTTGCGCTGTTTCGTTTTTGCAAATCTGCAAATCGACCCAGCTCCAAAACTGAAATCAAGAACCATTTTTAAAAGGAATCTGGGGTTTTACTTCCCTACGGTTCGAATGCAGCCTATTCCTCATTTCCTCTTTTGCAACAACACATCTGACAGTCACACATTTTCCGCTGGAGAGAATTTTATTCCACCCTACACTTGTTATTTAAGGGTTGGTGTTTTTTTTTGGCTGGGCTCTTTGACCAATGGCAAAATCCAAGGAAAATTCGCTTGATTTCCAGAGATTATCTTTAAAAAAAAAAATTAAAAAGAGCAAGAGGAAGGGAAAGAAGCAGCTCTTCCTGTTTTCCATGGTTTGGAGCAGGCAGGCAGGAGAAAACCAAAATGAACCCCACTTTAAAATGTGAAAAGAGCATCGGCGTGCGAAAACGGAACAAATTCGGAACGTTTGCCCACTGTTTCAGCCCGGGATATTCTATGTTAATTGTGTCTCCTTCCCATTTTGGAATTGGGGTCTACTGGGGGTCACTGGGAGGAAAAATCTGGCCCAGCCCCCAAAAACGGCTCCCCTCTGCTCCCATTCCTTATATACCCCACGGCCCCAAGTTTATCAGATGTTCTGGAGGGCGATTCGTGGACACAGGTTCGGCCAGCGAACCTCTAGCGAGAATCTGCAAGACTGAAGTCATGGACCCACCCCTTGTTCCTTTTGGAAACTTCTCTCTCTCTCTCTCTCTCTCTCTCTCTCTCTCTGTGTGTGTGTGTGTGTGTGTATAAATTAATTTAAGGAGGGCTGTTCACCTTCCAGCAGACAGCAAGGAGAGCGAATTTTATTTAACGGTACGGTTGCTAAATTCGGAACAGCAAAACCCGGAGGAGAACAAGGTCATTCAGCTAACGCAGGCGCCTTAACGAGGAAGCCCATCACGGCAGCAATTTCAATTAAGGGTGGACGGCGGCTCTTAATAAAGCTTCTCATTTCCAGATTTCTTCTCTGTTTTATTTTCAGATGGGCCAGAGGCCGCAACAGCGACGCAATGCAATGCAAAAACAGTGAAGAAAATATTTTTAAAAAATAAAATACGTGCCATGATTACAGGGTGGGATAAAAACGGATTCCATCGTGATTATTATTATTTTTAAAAATCCCCATCAAACATCCCCCCCCCAAATAGTGTTCCTAACAACACCACATCATGATTGGTAAGGACTTATCAGAGAAATCCAACTGGAGGCCATGGGAAACCACGTTTTCCCCAGTATGCTCTCGGAACGACGCCAAATCATAGAATAAATTGAGTCAGAAGGGGACCCCATGAGGCCATCCAGTCCAACCCCCTAACTTAAATCAAAGCAGATGGGGGCAGTGTTGATCCTGTGTTCTCTTGAAGGCCTCCAGCGTTGGGGCGCTCGCCTCCCGAGGTCACGAGTTCCGTTGTCTCACCACTCTAGCAGTTAATGTTTTTCTTAACACTCGGCTGAAATTTGGCTCTCAACACGCCAGGCTAGGAAGCTGCAATATATATAGTGACTTTCCTTGATGATCTCTTGCCTTCCACTCCTACGGATGGCCAAGGTAACTCTGCATCAAGAGGCAACCTTGATCAGAAAAGTCTAGGTTTTCTCCCCCCTTCTTCTTTCTCCCTTGCCCCTTTCCGCCATCATCACACAGAGGAGATTAAGAGGCGTATGAGAAAGATTAGCAGCTGGATTAAAGAGAACAATGTTGGGTCTTTACATTGGTCAAACGACCACAAGATTTCAAACTGTAGACCTTTCTTGCAGCGGGCCCGGCCGCTTACAGAGCAAAGAGAGATACGAGCGAACGATTAACGATTATTTTCTTGAGAGTTCAGCGTGTGGCCAAGGCTGAACTCTGAGACAGCCACCTCTTGCCGCTGAGTTGGCCCGGACGCCAGAGCTGAGCTGGTTTGTTGTGCTCCATCGGCTGTGTTCATCTCCATCAGGAACGGGTTTTTTGTAAGATTAATGCCTCTTAATTGACACACACATATACGCGTGTATAGTTTGTCCTTGGTTCTCCTTGGACCCCGTCACAATCTTCCTAGCTCATACTGGGCTAGTGAATCACCGGCATTTCTACCAAGGGGATGGTCAACCTTAACCACACATTTCTCTTTCTTTCCAAAAGGGTCAACTCAGCAGGCAAGGATCTTGGGTCTAAGAACGAAGGATCAACAACGACGATGATTAATAACCAAAAAAAGGGGATCTGGTGTCTTCATCTTACGAACCCCAAGTTCCGTTGCACTGCTGGGAAAGGGCCGGACAACGTTCTGCGGAGGAAACCGACCGGAACGGTCGACCAAACAACACACCAGACACGCCGTCATTCATGCACTTTCGGAAAAAAACCCTGATCCGCACTCACCTAAGTTGCTTTGCATAGTTGATCTCAATCTCGGTTCTCTCTTTTACAAACTTGATGTATTTCTCCAGGACATCGATGCCCCACTGCGTGTGTTTTTCAAGGTTGTCAAACTGGTCCTGCAGTGGGAAGAAAGAAACCAAGAGAGATTATTCAATTAGGAGACCTCTCTCTATATAGATAGATTCTATATATAGACATACAGTATATAAAACACTTTGTGAAACCACAACTTTTCATCAAGACAACGGACCTTAGCGATGAATCAAGCATTGAGTAGCAAACCGGTGTCAAGGTGCCGATGCCAGAGGCTGGGGGGTACAAACTTTTGGGTCATGGAACAGAAACTATATACAGTGGTGCCCCGCATGACGACGACCTCGCATGACGATGAAATTGTTTGATGACGACTTTTTTGCAATCACTATAGCGATCGCTTTGATGACGACTTTTTTGCGATCACTATAGCGATCGCAAAGATGATGATTCCTATGGGGGGTTTTTTTTGCTTAACGACGATTAGGTCCCTGCTTTGGGAACCGTTTTTTCGCTGGAAAACCATTTTCCCAGCTGATCGTTGGGTTTCTAAAATGGCCTCCCGCCATTTTCCGACCCTTGTTTCAGAAGACAGGCATTAAAAACAGCTGATTGGCACTCACAAAATGGCTGCCCTATGGAGGATCTTCGCTGGACAAGCAGGTATTTTCCCCACTGGAACGCATTAACTGGTTTTCAAAGCATTCCAATGGTTTTTTTCCACATGATGACGATTTCGCTGTACAGTGATTTTGACAGAACGGAATATCGTTGTCATGCGAGGCACCACTGTATAGAAGGCTGGTGGGTAGGTAAGCTGTCCCCTAAGAATAACGTGGTCCAATTGGGTGGAGTTATAACTACTTTGGACTGTATATATGGAGGTCCTCATGAATGAATGAGAAAAAGAAAGCAGTTAAAAATAATGGCCCCAATCTCTGCAGGTAGAAATCTAACACCACAGGGAGTTCTGGATCCAAGCTTTCTCTCTGATGTGCTAGCTTTCCACATGCGGGGAAATTGTTTTCATTAAAGAGCACATAAGAGATCAGGAAGATTTATTTCATGTTTGTGACTTCCCTCTCAGGTGGTCAACCTTCAGATGGACCCTCAACCCCAAGGACCCTCTCAACGGTGAGCGCCCCACGTTGCAACGAACACAACAAAAAGATGTGAAAATCTGTCTTCCTTCGGCTGCACTTCTCGAACATTCGTTTGCATTTTCTTCCTATCTCTGGTTTCTGTTAGGCTGAGCGACTTTCTGTTCTCTACCCGCACTGACATCCGTGCACATTGTAAACACATTTTTCCTTGGGCGTTTATTTACCTAACTCTCCCTCCTGCCCAAAAAGCTCATCTCTGCATAGTTCTTACAGTTACGCACATTTTAATCATTCGCATTTTTTAAAACCGTGCGTTGTTCTCCCAGCATAGCCATTTGGGTTTGGAAGCAAGAAGCAAAATGCAGTTTGGACCTCTGACCCATCTCTTCCCACCGAACGCAAATTTTTTCGTGCTCGCTTGCAAAACCTGCAAGAGGCCAAGAAGTGTGATGTCAAACAGAGACATCTTGAGCCTAAACAAGTGGGCTCGGCTGTGTTTATCAACTTCCCTTTCTTGCAAACCCCTGTTTACAAACCGTCTGCCCTCAAAAATTTGCTTATCTTCCCAGCACAAAAAGACTCCTTCAGCACCACACCCTTGTAAGGCTGGACGTTTCAGAATTCAACGGAGAAAAGAGCCAGCCCAGAGGAAATGATCAAGAGTTATACATCGCATTGAAGAGATAAAGAAAAAAAACATCTATTTTTCTGCATCTCTCTTCAGCCGTGATAGCCCAGAACGAATTCTGGCACATTTCCTCATTGAAAACCCTATTTGTGAACTCCTTCGAGATGTATTCGCTCCTACTTGTTGGACTTTTTGAAGTCCAACTTTTCTGTTGTGTGGCTTTTTTTAAAAAAAAAAGCTTGTTTTGTGTGTGTGTGCAAAACACAGTTGCACTCTTTTTTCCCCCTTCTTCTTAACCACAAAAATACCAATTCTGCCTCCTTGCAAGTAGGGCCAGCCTGTGAAGCCTCAAGCAAGCTGCGCACCGTCTCAAAGCGACTCAGGAAAAAAGCTATTGTAAACCACTTCTGAGTACTCTCCACTGGGAAGATCCTAAAAAAGGGTCCCCATAAATCGGAATTGACCTGACAGCATGCAAAAATTAAATACAAATAAAAATCCACAACCGTAGGATTTCAAAGATCTGCAAAAATTACTATAACTTCAAGCAATGCATTTTTTTTTAAAATGAGCAGAGAAAATGCACCCCTTTGCAAAAACGTACAGCAGAACAAGAGAAAGGTGGGGGGGATTTTGTCCTATAAAATTGGAAGGGGGGGAAGGACTCAGAATATGGGGACGGATCCGAGGCACAGATGGACAGATTCCCCAGAAGGAAGCCGCCTCTTTAAAGGAAGCATCATCTGTTTCCGTTGCTATCTGTGCCAAAACTGCCCGGAAACCTGATGTGAAAGGAGGAATCCATCAGGGTACCAACAGAGGGAAGGAGGAGAAAGGGTTAACCCTTGGAAGAGGCAGCTTTCCAGATGCTGCCATAGCAACAGCCTGGGCATTCCAGGGGCGGGAGGGACTCCTCGGCCAATGGGAACCCAGCTTCACCCGAGAAAAGACGGCGATGTGATTGGCAGAGCCGTCCTCAAATCAGGGGCCAGGTAGGGAGGCTGCAGTCTCCTCTCTCTGGACCACTTGCTTTTGAAGTCCATCAGAGCATCCTTGATGGGACCTGATCCGTCCACCATGGCCACGGTTTCGTGGCCAACCTTGGTCAAGGCCCCTAGGGTCCAGGAAACCCATAAGCCTCAGGGAGAGGCAACAGACTGCTACGCTCGGCCATTCCCCATAGGAGAGGAGGGTCCCAATTCCACCGGGGACCACACGCCTTCCTACGTGCAAAGCCTGCTGGGTTCGATCCCCCAGCATCTCCTCTTCTGGAGTGAGAAATGCTCCTGAAATTTTGGAGTGCTGTTGTTCAAGCAGTCCTAAACCTACATCAGACAGGCCGGGGGGTTGACTTGGTCTCCTCCAGCCTCTTGGTGAGTCCCAGGTAGACCTGCTCTGAACGGGGAGGCTCCATGGGGGCGTTTGTCCCATGGTTTGGTGCCCGGCTTTACACGGGTTGGTCCACTCTTCTTCCACACCCACTCAAGCATCTACACATGGAGCGGGCCCATTTGAACCCGAGTCTAGGGGGTTCTCTCCAACCTTACCCCCTTCACCACAACCCACCACCGGGAGGAAGGCGAGAGGACTCAAGGGGTCAACCGTAAGCCTTCGGAGGGCCTCTGGGGCCTAGCGACAATGCTGGCACTAAAACCACAGAAGTTCAAACCACCACCTTTGACGGGAAAGAGAAACCAAGATGGCGGCTGGAAACGTCCTTCTCTTGGCAGCTTGGCGTCTTGCGTGGCGTCCATTTCGGCCAACGATCTCCTCGCTTCCCTGGGCTGCTCCGTCACTTGCAGACAAAACGTACCAACGCGTCAAGAGCAGGTTGGACGCGAGCGACGCAGAATACCCAGCGTCGCCTTGCACGGACGTGGCATGATCCGCGCGGTCAACGCAGTAAGAGGCGCTTGACGAGGATGATATGAAAACAGGCATCGGAAAAACCGGAGGAAGGAGAGACAGGAGCCGTTCCAAGGGGATGCTGTCCGTTTCCAGTTGCCTCTCTCTCACTGTCATCCTATTTTCCGCATAAAATGTGCCGGTTAATTAAGTCGGCGATTCTCAATTAATGAGAGCTGCGTCGGGAGGCTGGGTGCGCAGCGGGAATACACAAACCTCCGAGGCGGGCGGCCTCTCCGTGAAAGACACGAAAGGGACGATGGGCGGGGGGAACAAATCCGCCTGGATTTTTCTCAGGCGGGCTGGATCTGTCTAAGGTCACGGCGCAAGGACGACAACAATTACACTTGTTCCTTCGAAGAGCCAAATTCGTGGCTTGAGGGAGGGAAGGAAGGGAGCCCAGACGAGGCCGGAGAGAAATCAAAGGGAGGCGTCGCGACAATGCAGTGAAACCCAACATATGCTGAACCAGGAACAATAAATCACAAAGAGGAAAAAATACATCTGCCTTCTCAGCAAAAGCAGACTGCTTTGGACAAAACTCATTTTATCTGATTTTTTAAGCTAATCTGGGTCAGGCCTTGTTGGTACTCAGGTGGGAGACCACTAAGAAACATCGCCAGCATCTTAAGATTTGCAGATTTCCATGATCCCATGGAAGGGACCCCATGGGATCATCCAGTCATTCATGTCAAGGTGGCCCCATGGGGGGGGGATCGAACTCCCAACCTCTCCATGGGGGGGGGGATCAAACTCCCAACCTTTCCTTAACCCGAGCTGTTCAGCCAGCAAAATTACTGAACCCTAATTTTGAGGTTTCACATCATCATCCTCATCTTAGACCTGCAGAAACTTTAGCCATTTGTCCAAACATGATGACCTTAACCCCTGAGCTGTTCAGCCAGCGAAATTACTGATTTAGAGGCTTCACATCATCATCTTCATCTTAGACCTGCAAAAACTTTAGCCATTTGTCCAAACATGATGAACAACACACACACCCCATAGGATTCTCAATTGGAAGGTCGCTATCCACGTTCTGAAATAGCCCTTTAAAACAAACGTGTTGGGAGCCAATTCATATCCCCGGTTGGGGATAATGGGAGCTGTAGTTCAAACCCACTCCCACCCCTATTCTAGGGGGTAGCATAACCATGAACCAAAGAAGGGTGTATTTACAGATCAACTCAAAGGTCAACACTTAATAACCCCCCATCCCCCTTAATCCTTTTCCAACTGCACCCCTTGATTTCAGATAATAAAATTATGGACATCCAGAGTCTACCAACGATTCTCAACCTTGGGTCATCCAGATGTTCTTGGACTAAAACTCCCAGAAGCCTTCACCACGAGCTGGGCTGGCCAGGATTTCTGGGGGTTGTAGTCCAAGAACCTTCAGGGACCCAAATTTGAGAAGCACGGGTAGCTGATCTTTCCTTCTTTGTCA